TACTCGTATGGTTTCGTTAGTCAGTCCACAGTGACTATATTATTAACTTATTCAGCAGCATGAATTATTTACGTCACAGACCGAAGGTGTGATTATTTTTTATCCCCCCCCCCCCATAAAAACAACCAAGTATTCAACTTTACAAGTTTGTACACATTTCTAAAAGTTTTTAAATGCAAATATTCAATTTTAAGCGTAATTGCATACTTGCCATATCATCTCGTAAAGACAAAAACAATGTATCCCAAATAATTTGGTCCACCCTGACAATATATGAAATGATCAATAAAATGATTGTTGATTTGTTTGTTGGTGTATCGTGGAAAATTATCAATGACTGTATTAAGTAATGCTTAAAATATATATATTTTGTCACGAAAAATAACAAAAACACATCAAACCATTTTTCCCCCGCACGCCTTCAGAATATAAATTACACACGGTGCAAGACCACGATTCTCATTTGTTACTGAGCCTTAAAAAAACAATGCTTAGCTTCGGCTGCCCTACCCTGACTCGCATACATTTGACCAGCGACACGCTTCAGCAGATCACCAACAGTCAAACGCGTCTTTTAAAACATCTATTGACACGAAATGCCATTTTAAAGTGCATCTTTGCACCAGATATAAAGCCCCACACAGGTGCAGGGTACTAAAGTATGATAGCACACGCGCACACGTGCAATGTCCGCCAAACATGTTCATCACAAAGCACGGCAGATGAATAAGGCTCGAGGTCAGTTTTATTTTACCCATTGTATTAAACAAAAATGCTTTAAGAAGAGCCTTTCGGTTTCCTCAGCGCTACATTTAAACGCGGGAATTATCCATCCAAGATAGCTATGGCAAAAAAGGTTTCAGATTGTTAATATATAAAATCCACTTTCGTCATTAATGATGCACCTTGGAGAGAGAGAAAAAAACACCGACAGAATTGAATCAGACGAGTTGTATGGGACGCCAGGCATATGTGAATAATTTGTGGAATGTTGCAATGGCTTTATTTGGTGTTCTTTGCATTTGTAATAGTGTAACTTCACAATCTGAGCTTCAGACGATTGATGATTGGGGAATATGCTTCAAGAGCTCAAATCAATATTTGTCCACCATTGTGCAAGCACCACTGCAGTATATTGTTCTGTAAAAATGTGGTTGTTTTGTGAAAGCGAATATCATGAAATAACAAAGCATGCAAATGGTTCCTGTGTTATACAAGCTGTACTTTTTTATAATTCTGAAAAAGAAGGGTATTTATGAAATAAAGAAAAACACTTAACACAATTTGCGATGCGTGTTCTATGCATAAGGGACATTATCCAAAACGTCGCCTATTATATATTTTCCTTTTAAGCCAGTAATATCGACGAATGTGTTGAGTTGTTTTGTACTTGTATGCCACTAACAACGGAGTATCACCAAATAATTTGTATGTATTAAAAAGTATATTTATTTATGTGTGACGATAAGTATAATTTGTATACAGTGAGGGAAAAAAAGATTTGATCCCCTGCTGATTTTGTACGTTTGCCCACTGACAAATAAATTATCAGTCTATAATTTTAATTGTAGGTTTATTTGAAAATTGAGAGACAGAATAACAACAAAAAAATCCAGAATAACGCATGTCAAAAATGTTATAAACTTATTTGCATTTTAATGAGGGAAATAAGTATTTGACACCCTCTCAATCAGAAAGATTTCTGGCTCCTAGGTGTCGTTTATACAGTAATTGGTGGCAAAACCTTTGTTGGCAATCATAGAGGTCAGACGTTTCTTGTAGTTGGCCACCAGGTTTGCACACATCTCAGGACGGATTTTGTTCCACTCCTCTTTGCAGATCTTCTTCATTTCATTAAGGTTTCGAGGCTGACGTTTGGCAACTCGAACCTTCAGCTCCCCCCACAGATTTTCTATAGGATTAAGGTCTGGAGACTGGCTAGGCCACTCCAGGACCTTAATGTGCTTCTTCTTGAGCCACTCATTTGTTGCCTTGGCCGTGTATTTTGGGTCATTGTCATGCTGGAATACCCATTCACGACCCATTTTCAATGCCCTGGCTGATGTTCATTGGCAAACTTCAGACGGGCATGTATATGTGCTTTCTTGAGCAGGGGAACCTTGCGGGCGCTGCAGGATTTCAGTCCTTCACGGCGTAGTGTGTTACCAATTGTTTTCTTGGTGACTATGGTCCCAGCTGCCTTGAAATCATTGACAAGATCCTCCCGTATAGTTCTGGGTTGATTACTCACCGTTCTCATGATCATTACAACTCCACGAGGTGAGATATTGCATGGAGCCCCAGGCCGAGGGAGATTGACAGTTCTTTTGTGTTTCTTCCATTTGCGAATAATCGCACCAACTGTTGTCGCCTTCTCACCAAGCTGCTTGGCAATGGTCTTGTTGCCCATTCCAGCCTTGTGTAGGTCTACAATCTTGTCCCTGACATCCTTGGAGAGCTCTTTGGTCTTGGCCATGGTGGAGAGTTTGGAATCTGATTGATTTATTGCTTCTGTGGGCAGGTGTCTTTTATACAGGTAACAAGCTGAGATTAGGAGCACTCCCTTTAAGATTGTGCTCCTAATCTCAGCTCGTTACCTGTATAAAAGACACCTGGGAGCCAGAAATCTTTCTGATTGAGAGGGGGTCAAATACTTTTTTCCCTCATTGAAATGCAAATCAATTTATAACATTTCTGACATGCGTTTTTCTGGATTTTTGTTGTTGTTATTCTGTCTCTCACTGTTCAAATAAACCTACCATTAAAATTATAGACTGATCATTTCTTTGTCAGTGGGCAAACGTACAAAATCAGCAGGGGATCAAATACTTTTTTCCCTCACTGTATAAGCAAACGTGTATAAAAACAATTTTTTACCTTGCCAGATAAGGCCAACTGAGCTATATAGTTATTTTTTAGAAGCGACGTGGCCTAAAATAATAGCTCAACGAAGCGGCTTATCACGTGAAAATTGATAGCGGCCAAATACTCTAAACTCAGGTTTCTAAATGTGGAAGAAAAAACCGGAGGACCCAGAGAAAAATCAACGCGACCACGGGAAAAACACACACTTGTATATCAATTATTCAAAAAGATGATAGGTAACCAAATAATTGACAATTTAGTGGCAAGCCAACCATATGAACAAAATTACATTAAAAAAATATATAACACAACGTGTAATAGTAAGTCTGCCATAGATTAAATACACCAACTACTATGAAATTAATTTCAAATTGAATTGGTGTTGGGTTAGAGATCGGTATAGGATGAAGAATAACGCCAATTTAAACATAATAAGGTCATGTCGATGCTATTTTTTCTTTACAACTAATTTTATTCTACATAGTGACTCGCCTGCTTGAAGTGTGGAAGGGATAAACATAATACATTTCTGCCCAGCACAGGTCATACGGTAGGAACAATTTAAATTGAAATTGATTCCAGATATCCATTGACAAAAAGCTAAGAAAATCCCTGTTTTAAGACACCAATATTAACTAAAATACCAAGTAACGTGTGCTTAATCTAGGAACGTGTTCCCCAGTTTTTCATATTCATCCAAGATAATCAGAAAACCAGGTCAAGGTACGAAATATTACATGATCCGGAAGGTTGACGTCTGGGCAAATAACGTGACATTAAATCACGCCCGTAACCCCCCTGCCAATAGTGGTGTCACATCGGATTTGCTGACGTCACTTTTGTTAGCACGAAGACACGTTGAATTACTACATAATGTAATTGATGAATTAATTAAGCAATATGGGAAAAAAAGGATCTGCTATTGTACTTACAAAATCTAAACTCCAATTTCAGAATCAGAATAGTAATTTGTATTTCTACTGGAGGAATCCAATGACCTTTAAAACTTTTTTTCACAGATGTCCAATTTTATTTTATTTTAAACTGATTCTAGAAAATGAAGTGTTTGAGCTGCTACAGCCTGCGTATCATAATCCTATTGCACACTCCAAAGCAAGTCTCTCATTTGCAAACCATAGGACAGTGGCCAAAATACAAAGTTGCTAAGTAGAGGGTTGTACTTCTAGCACAAAAGAACAGTTATTTCAACATGGGTTGAGTTCATTTTGGAGAGGTTATGCTCGAACTTAATTCACTCTTCACACCACTCATACATTAATTATAAACCCAAATAACACAAACGTTGCCATTTAGGTATATTATCCAGCCACGCCTGAACATGCAGCAGTCTCCTATTTCAGGACTCGTGCCTCGCCAATTATATATCACATATAAGCAATTCACCAAAGTGCAACAACACCGTGCAGAACTCTTAATGTGTTTGTTACTGTTTGGCCTTCAATACGCAAATCAAGGGGATTAAAGCATGCACGGGCAGTGAGTAAACATGCATTACGTGGCTTAGTTGTCCTAAGTTGTTAGCACAATGTCAGACACTGGCAAAACATGACAGCCTTTGGAGACTCCTAATGCAGTGATTTGCGGCATCGTGCTTTAAATGTCCGAGATGACCAAGCGCCGCCAACTTCTGCGCGTCCATAGATAAATGTCAATTTGCAGTAGAAAGTAATGTGATTCGGTTAGTCTGTGCACAGCAGATAATGCATTGTACGTGCTCAGGGACACAGTCGGCGTCAAGGACTTGCGTGTCCAAAATGAGGGCTTTCATTTGTTGAAAGCGGTTTCAACATTTAGCGCGCGCATTTTATATGCATGTAATTCGTTTAAAAAAAATTGCTTCAACAGCGGGATAATGTGCAGGCCAAAATATTGTAGGCGAGAAAATTGATGGAGTGCCGCACTTTGATTCACGTTGAAAGCGGGAATAGAAATCTGTAAATGTCTCATTACTTAGTCATGTGACACACCTGTGTGTGTATGCGTTTGTTCGCGTGTACGATTATGGTCATGTTGGGGGGGGGGGGAAGTTGGTGGTGGTGGGGGTATCGTGGGGGTGGTATGTGCTAGCGAAGAAGATCAGCTGCACTCTCATCGTATATAAGGCGACATCTTAATGATTGGATTGCATTAGGACACGAGCTGCCGTTATCGTTGTCGCATTTGCCTCAGACGAGTGTTGTTGTAACGACACCATGGCTCGCTGCGCACCTCTAACGCTGGCTGTCAGCGTGCTGTCCTTGGTGCTGATCTCGTCCGCGTGTTACATCCAGAACTGCCCGAGGGGAGGAAAGCGCGATCTCACCGACAGTGTCCGGCAGGTGTGCCCTCAAACGTGTGCGGGCACGATTTTCGTCTCGGTTTGAGCGAACGCCGTTGAAGTGCATGCCGCTACGAGGGAGTTCGTGACGATGTCGTTGAATTAAATGTATTGCACTTTCCTTAGAAACACTTTAGAGTGATTCAACGTGTGCGCGCTGAAAAGGATTAGAGTTGCTCGCTTAAAATGTGTGTTTTCTCTCGCGTTCCAGCAGCGGTATCTTGTTTGCCAAGGGTCAGTTGCATAAAATCACTTACGTATAACATTTCCCATTACCCACAGCTAATGTTCACTTTGGATTGTTTTATGCAACGGGCAAGATACAGATATGAATAGCGTCTACATTTGGGAATAATGCATTAGTCTTCCGCTATTGACAATACATATGTTGCACTTCTTTCGCAGGGTACGTAGCCAACCCTCGTGTTATGCACCGTGACATGTCTGAACTAAGCAATGTCAATTTCTTTTGAGATGTCACAGGAACCTCGAGTATATCAACGAAACCACACTTGTGGCTCACGAACCTCGCTATTCAAGTTCAGCGTTTTACACACAATCTAGAGCCATACGCGAGAAGTAGAATTTGCAGTCACTCTCTCTATCTCTCTCTCTCTCTTGGCATGTGAGTACGCATACACAAGCGACATTCGGTGCCACACGAAAAAAAACGCCACCCAAGCTGTTTAACGCATTTTCTCCTTTACAAAAAATGTGACGCCTGGACAACGACAACGACGACGACGCCAGTGCCTGCCTTGTGGGCCAGGCGGCCAGGGCCGATGCTTTGGACCCAGGATCTGCTGCGGGGAGGCCATGGGCTGTCGCCTGGGTGGCCCGGACGTGGCCATCTGCCGGGCCGAGCGACTGATGCCGTCTCCATGCGAGAGCCGAGGGGAGCCGTGCGGCCACGGGGGGAAGTGCGGAGCTCCCGGCCTGTGTTGCTCGTCAGGTGAGGTTTTGCAACGGCCCAGGGCTCCATTTGTCACGGAGCTATTTTTTCCCGCGTGTATGTGTATAGAACTTCTTTCGCACCGTACGTAGCCAACTGCGCTGATCGGAGGTGCGGGGAGAAGGGCAACCAACTAAACAGATACATCAGTTCTAAGGAATTTAGGTTTCAATCTAGATTTAAAAGTGCATAGCTCCAGTGGCTTCCTAATATCGGAAGGAAGAGCGTTTCAGACGTATAGCTAGTAGATGACAAGGGACTAGTAGCCACAGAAATGGCAATATAAATTCGAAAGTTACCCGCACATGACTTAAAATTGCTCAATTGAGATTATGCACGGCAATGATCGCCCCCTACTGGCAGACTCGTACCCGTTTCTAGGCCAGGTGCTGAAGTCACCTTGTGCCTATAGGGGCAGCTGTCACTGAAGGTGCCTTTTCTAATGTTTTAGATGAGATGTGATGTAAAGCACTCTTAGTCTCACTGTATCAAAACAATTCATTATTCTGCATGTGGTGTGCTGGATGTGGAAATATGTTTTATCTGGATAACCGACCCGGTTTAAATGAAGCCATGTGTACATCCGTACCACGCTAGCGCCGTACTGAAGTAATTAAATACCGAAATAGTATCCGCTAAAACAAAATACCTTGCAATGCATCAGCCTATTATGGGCTTCCAACCTAATATTATGAAGATAGCACTTAAATTTTGATTTAAAGCTTTCGTGACTGCAGTAATTCATATTCTTAGTTTTTTCGGTAAAGTCACTCTTCAACATGACTTTACCGAAAAAACTAAGAATATAAGATAGCACTTGTTTAAACAAGTGCACTCTGGACTGGTTTCAACCTTAATGGTCTTATCGGTAGAGTCAGGATTGTTCAGCCAATAATGCTGGGTTGTTAGATGTTATTGGTAAAAACGGTGCTCCGTCTACAACACGCTAGCGCCGTACTGAAGTAATTAAATACCGAAATAGTATCCGCTAAAACAAAATACCTTGCAATGCATCAGCCTATTATGGGCTTCCAACCTAATATTATGAAGATAGCACTTAAATTTTGATTTAAAGCTTTCGTGACTGCAGTAATTCATATTCTTAGTTTTTTCGGTAAAGTCACTCTTCAACATGACTTTACCGAAAAAACTAAGAATATAAGATAGCACTTGTTTAAACAAGTGCACTCTGGACTGGTTTCAACCTTAATGGTCTTATCGGTAGAGTCAGGATTGTTCAGCCAATAATGCTGGGTTGTTAGATGTTATTGGTAAAAACGGTGCTCCGTCTACAACACAGATAATTTAATATTGCAGGTGCGCAGCAGCAAGGGAAGCGGTGGGAGATGGCGGAGTTAGGCAAAGTTATTTATCAAGAGGAAGTTGGAAAGTTACTGAACCCCAGTTCACACCCCTTGTTGTCACATTCATTTCCATCCCTCGACCACAAGGCACGGTTACCAAGCTTGCTAAAAAGAACTCGTCACAGAACAAGTGATGGTTTTACTTATTGATGTTTTATTTTCTTAAAACGTAATAATCCTGCAAAGCTATCACTCCAACCATGAAGAAGGACCCTCTTGAGGAGGCTTTCAAAACCATCACTTTACCCTATATTGCGGGGGTCACAAAAAAGATCTCCAAAATCTTGAATAAACACAAGATGCAGGTCCGTTTCAACACATTACATAAAATCCGTGATCTGGTTCCGTCTGTAAAAGATGTGATTCCGGACATACAGTACCCTGGCATCTACAAACTAAGTTGCCTCTGTGGTAGTAGTTACATTGGAGAAACCAAACGACGTCTCGGACCGCATTTGTGAACACAAAGCAGACCTTAAACACGGTAGGACCAACACCTCGGCCGTGGCAGATCATTGTTCTAATTCAGTAGGTTCACATGACATTGACTTCTCCAAGACAGAGGTTCTTTGCAAGCCATCTGGCTACCATGAGAGATTCGTTCATGAGGCTATCCACATATACAAACAGAGACAATTTCAACCGAGAAGATGGATTCTGGCTTCGCAATCATTGGAAGTATTTGATAAACCATTTCGGGTCTTAATTGATTATTCACGCTTACAGTGGCTTTCAGACAGCATACATTCATTTTTCGTCTCCCCCCTCCTCTTTTCCGAACATAGATGGACTCGTCCATCTAAACAAACTGTCAAATCGCTATCCGTGGCGCTAGCGTTTTAAAATAAATAAATAAATATATACTGACCGCCACTTCTTTCAAATGTTCTTGCCGTTGGGTTTCACACCTGATGATGACTGCTTGTGTTGCAGTCGAAACGTCGTGAGAATTTTATTGTTTTATATATATTTTATTATTTTATTGTTTCCCTTCAACGTGACTTTACCGAAGGAACCAAGAATATGAATCACTGCAGTCACGAAAGCCTTAAATCAAAAAAGAATATCCCTTTGTCAAATCACTGCTGGATGATGAGGATTTCTTGGCCATACTCCACCACGCTGATTAGTGCGGATTTCTTGGCCATTCCCCACCACGCTGATTAGTGCGCATTGTTGGAGATTGAGCCCAGCACTGATTTAGCCGTAGCAGGGAATCGAACTCAAATCGCCGGGGTTACAGCGCAAAACTCTAACCACTGATGTAAAATGTGAGCAACACGCCATGAACGGGTCGATCCCAACCAATCTGTGTTGTATGGCCGAAGGTATTGTTCCCGTGTACCTTGCGACGTTTACCAAGTAAGAGAGTCGAAGGCTTCCTGCAGTAACAACGTAGAAAAAGCCCCAATTTCAACATGATATGGGCGCCGCGGTGGCGAGATATTAACTCCCTTGCCTGATATGCAGGAGGTCGTGGGTTCTAATCCCGACCGTGACGCCTGTATATTTGGAGTTTGCATGTTCTCCCCGTGGTCGTGTGGATTTTTTTCCGAGTCTCCCGGTTTTTCCCTTCACATTTATAACCAACATTACACGTTAAGAGTATTTGGCTGCTATACATTTCCAAATAATAAGCCACTTCGTTGAGCTATCATTTGTGGCCAGGTCGCTTCTTAAAAAGACCTGTATAGCTCAGTGGGCCTTGCCTGGTCCAATAAAAATAGTAAATATAAAGATAGTATTTTCAACCAGGACCTCTAAAATGGTGTAGCTGTGACGCAAGAGTGCATCGCGGTGGTGACCACGTAAAGCCCTTCACTCAGAACACATTGCGGGGACGCGTGGGAATCCAGACATTCTTGATTCTGGTTTAAATCCCATCCTAATTGACACCTATCTGTCATCCCACCCATTCCAAAATGTTTTCCCCCATTCCAAAAATAAAGCAGCTGACCCCGTCCAGTTATGGATCTTTTGGCTCGAAACAATATTCAATGCTTTCAAATGAATATATGCTACATATTCTTTTGTCTGTAACGTGTGGTCCGAGTAACACCGACTCTACTTTTCTATGTCATCAGTGGCACTCAAAACATGCAAAAACCACATATAGACACACATCATATCACAAAAATAAACCCACATTACTCGCATTTTTTCATTGATAGCAATTCGATTTTATACGCATTCCTCACCACACAATATCATATTCAGATAAACGCCGCAGAAAATGGGTGGAGACGCCATATGCTGTGTCTCTGCACCTTTTTTACGTCGTAAACTTAGTTATTTTTTCCATGTGTATGTATGTTCAACTTATTTCGCAACATACGTAGCCAACGTTGTTAATCGGAGGTGCGGGGGAAAGGCAACAAACTCAACGCAAAAAAGCAGTTCGAAACAAATGAGTTTTCAATTCAGATTTCAAGGTGCATAGCTCCAGTGGCTTTCTTGGGGCGATTGGTTGGTTGTGAAGGTGTTTCTACAGGGGGTTGTGGGTTCATTGATGTTGAGATCCGTCTACGTGCAATGTCTAAAAACACGCGCCCTTCACTCGGTACCCTAAACCCCTGATTCCCTGGGCCGTACTAATTGGACTTCAAGACGGTGATCTCTTGACCCCTGGAGCTTGGCAGTGTTCCTTTTGATGCCCGTCTTTTGATCAATGTCGGAGCGAGAGAGACACTAACATTTCAGGTCCGACGCTGTTTGTACGATTATCGGTGTAGATTACCTCTCGAAACGTGCTTTTGGGGAGGATGGGAGCCGCATTGGAGCATTACCCAGAGCTAATTAATTAACGTAAAGTTTCGCTGGGTTTCCAATGTCTCTGGCCCTGATCTGAGGTATCCACCGAAACAAAGACGACTGCGAGGCAATACTTTGGCACGCTGGTGGTGATGATCGTGACGGCGGTCAGGATAATGCTAACGATTGTGGTAGTGGTTGATATGGTGGTACTGTAAAGTAATGGTAGCAATTATTGTGATTGCGACGATGATCACGATGCCACCACGTGTGTGACGATGCCACCACGTGTGTGACGATGCCACCACGTGTGTGACGATGCCACCACGTGTGTGACGATGCCACCACGTGTGTGACGATGCCACCACGTGTGTGACGATGCCACCACGTGTGTGACGATGCCAACCACGTGTGTGACGATGCCACCACGTGTGTGACGATGCCACCACGTGCGTGACGATGCCACCACGTGCGTGACGATGCCACCACGTGCGTGACGATGCCACCACGTGCGTGACGATGCCACCACGTGCGTGACGATGCCACCACGTGCGTGACGATGCCACCACGTGCGTGACGATGCCACCACGTGCGTGACGATGCCACCACGTGCGTGACGATGCCCACCACGTGCGTGACGATGCCACCACGTGCGTGACGATGCCACCACGTGCGTGACGATGCCACCACGTGCGTGACGATGCCACCACGTGCGTGACGATGCCACCACGTGCGTGACGATGCCACCACGTGCGTGACGATGCCACCACGTGCGTGACGATGCCACCACGTGCGTGACGATGCCACCACGTGCGTGACGATGCCACCACGTGCGTGACGATGCCACCACGTGCGTGACGATGCCACCACGTGCGTGACGATGCCACCACGTGCGTGACGATGCCACCACGTGCGTGACGATGCCACCACGTGCGTGACGATGCCACCACGTGCGTGACGATGCCACCACGTGCGTGACGATGCCACCACGTGCGTGACGATGCCACCACGTGCGTGACGATGCCACCACGTGCGTGACGATGCCACCACGTGCGTGACGATGCCACCACGTGCGTGACGATGCCACCACGTGCGTGACGATGCCACCACGTGTGTGACGATGCCACCACGTGTGTGACGATGCTACGACATGTGCCTTCGCAGAGAGCTGCGCGGAGGACGCGTCTTGTGGGTGGGAAGGGGGAGACTCCCCCGGGGAGCGCCCATTCCCGCACTCCGCTCTCCGTCTGCAGTCTCCGGCTGCGGAAGCGATGCTGGAACTGATCAACTCCAACAGCCTGCGAGACTGACACGTGTACACGCGCTGTACGGAATGGTTTTACTTGCAGCGTCTTAACGTGTTAAACAATACGGATAGGGTCGCATTGTCTTAATGTACTCACGAGCCCCCGTAGTGCCTGTGCGTACTGTTTTAGTCGGCGTCCCGTTGGTATAATGAGTTTTGTATGTTATTGGTACGTGCGCTAATATTTCCAACCACGGCACGTGTAGTCTCGCGTCGCGCTGCTATCATTATTAAACCATGGGCCAGAGCAAAAACAAATTGATACCACCTACAATAGCAACACTTTAAGTGGTATCGATTCATTTATACGGCGATTAAGAATGGAATTATTTGATAACCCACTTAATTCAAATGGTCATCGCACAATTTCACTGTCTTTGGCCACATTAAGACATTGGAAGACCGCTAAAGTGACGCCACATCAGGTGGTACCGACAAAGTGAAAGTGTCTGGTCTGTGCTCATGGACCCACATCTCGTGTTGTGCGCTCGTACGTGCGTGCGTGTTTCCCATGCTTCTCTGTCTCTTACCCCCACCCCCACCCACAAGCATTTATTGACGATTTTACAGAAACCGAACCTATTTGTAAACGCGTCCGTCAATGTGCTAAGAACCAGGTGCATGGTTGCGATTAAATAAATAATGTGTTTATTTCACGATCAAACCGCACACGTCTCTCTCTCTCTCTGTGCGTGCAAAGTTCAAGGACGGTTCCTTCACGGCGGCGCGACGATCGGAACGCGTGTTTTTCTATCGGGACATCAAAGACGCGCGCCCGGAGAAATAATCATAATAGATCAAACAAGACTGGGAAACAATTAATCTCGACAACACGACCGCACGTGCAAGGCTATACCGAGTAACCTCGTTCTCATTATGAATGTGCGGCAGCTGCAATGGCTTTGTCACATACCGCAGTGTAAGACTAATAATGGGTATTAAAATACACAATGCAAGATTCTTACTTCTCTCTTCTGAGATCAAGGACACGTGGCGATAATTACCGAATACGATAATTGCGCCGTTTTAAACGGTTACCCCGATGTATTCGCTTTGAAGTAGTTTACGAACGCTTATGTATAGCCGTGCTATTGAAATCCCAGTGAGCGCAATGTATAGAAATATTTTATATACCATTAAAAACGCTGCTTTATGGAGGAAGAAACAAAATAACCATTCTCAAACAGGGCTCATCTATCGGTGTCGATGGTGGTGCTCAGCAGATGAGTTCGCCATTCCAGAACAGGGTTTCTCAAACCCCAGTCCTGCCACCCATCACCACCACGGCTCCTTCTTTCCGCATTTACCAAATTTACTCCCCATTCAAATGAACTCTCTCCACGCCACACGCGCCCGATGATTGTTAAACACGTCCCAGGTGGTGCTCTAAAGAACACGCGTACTCATACACACACGTAACACGAATTACACGTGTACAGACACGCACACTGAGCTCTTCATCTTAATTCGGAACAGCACTATTTAAGTCAACAGCGTTAATTGCTTGGCGCGTTACGTGGGGCGTGTTTAACAATCATTGGGCGCGTGCAGAATAGAACGAGTTCGTTTGTAATTGAACGGGGAGTGAACTGGTAGACGCGGAAAAACGTAGCGTAGGTGGTGGATCGCGAGGACTGGAGTTTTTGGAAACCCTATTCTGCAATATTCCAGGTCGGACGCCTCCCCCCCCCCACCCCCGTTTCGCCCATCCCTTACGATAAACCAGTTCCACTCGCACATAACACCGCCGTCGAACAGAAACAAGAAACCAGAAAAACACAAGAACATCGCGATTTTGACGGCGTGCTCTCGGTGCGTATCTATTCCCATTAAACAAATTGGTTGCTGATTCTGCCACGTTGGCAGTGGTGCACACAAGGACCATTACCAAAACAAACCTCGACACACTCGCCAGCAACACTGCCCTAAAAAAATATAAGTGACGTTTCAGGCAATGGTCCTTCTTCAGAGCACATTCAAGTTCGGAGATCGAGTACATTTGTTATGGTGAAGAACTTCTAAATGAGTATCTCTACACAAATGCAGGAGTCAGCTTTTCGCTTCTGTTTTAACTCCTCAGACACAGGCATCGAGTTACAACTGCTATCATAGCCGCTCTACATATTTTTTCCATTGCGATTTTTTTCCTAAAATCAAGGCTGTACAATATGATAGACCGAATCATTCACATTGTGTATACTATAATTTTTCTTCTCCTTATTACTAGTTACCCTTATTATGCTATTATAAGCAATCCAGTGGTAGGAGAGAAGCTCTTAATGTCATTTTTACTCATCAGCTGTGTCACGTAAGTCTTATCCCAGACTTGCATCTGAGCACCAAAGCTGGTAATGGGACGATAGTATTGTAAGTTTGAATGTCATGGCAATTGACTACAGTGAGTAATTGGCCTCATTAAATACAAACATTGCAGAATATACAACTAATAAAGGATACAGAAAATTATACTCAATTTGAAGCTATAAAGCAATGAATATGCCTTTTGAAAAATGAAATGTTTTGCTGAAAATAGAAATGAAATGCGTACGCAAAATAAAACAATATCCATATTGCACAGTAAACATTCAATAAAATAATAAGCTTAGATAACATCTAACCTGATAACACAATTTTAGATTGATTATCATATTAGAAAATATCAATAAATATTTTAAATAAGCTCCAACGGAAGTGACTGTTCATGTTTAGTATACAACGTGGACCATGGCTTACACAGTTTAACTATACAGGTACAACGAAGTTTAATCGGGTATAATTTTACGTAGAATTATGCGTACGTTTGTGAGACGTTATATATTACAGCATATAAAGCTGTGAGAAATCTAATTAAGTAGCAACTATATGCACGAATACAAGCTCGCAATACGTCCTGGCCATGTATATCCGTTTCCTAACCAACATTTCTTCGCATTTCATTCCGATGAAATATTCTCTTCTGTGAATTTCTTTCCATTAACTCCACCTGTGTGCATAACAAACATCACACGACGCCGTTGTTATTTGGCCATCATACTCATCACAGCATTTTGCGTGTTTGACTTTCAAGAAGTCAGGGATGTTGGTGCCGTTATAAGACAGTGCATTACAAAACCCCCAACTCAAAATATAGCTTACTTACCAATGCACAGCACTTATGTTAGGATTACTGTTGCAGTGGCTTAATTAGATGCATTCATCCAACAGTGGATAGATCATCACAAGTAATGACGATGCAGTTACTTAATTCGAGGATTAAAACGTGGCTCACGGGACTACACTGCGGTTTGGTAACTCCGGTTTTCATTCTGTCTTGTTTTTTTACATTTCCCTTGTCTCTGTTAATGATCAAATCTTGCCAAAAGGCATTAGCCCATTGAGCACGATTCACTTGTTGGAGGCGAATGTCCAATGTTTTTATTTCGTAACGTGCCGATGTCTCTGTTATCAACAATGGAAAAATGGTCACAGCGACTGTGTATCGGCGGTTTCGTCAAGATGTGGCCCAAATGCGTGTTTTCTTGGTATGGGGTATCGCCTGATACGCAGGAGGTCGTGGGTTCCATCCCAACCCTGATGCCTGTCTATTTTGAGTTCACATGATCTCTCTCCCTGCAGTCGTGTAGATTTTTTTTTACCAGGTCCTCCGGTTTGGCCCTGTACGTTTAGAATCATCCATTTAGATTATTTGGCTGCTAAAATAAATCCCCACATATAACATAGCCCACTTCGATGAGCTATCATGCGTTGCCAGGTCTCCTCTGAAAAAGGGATAAGAGCTCGATGAGCTTCTCCTGGTAAAATAAAATAGTTTAGTTGAAACTCACCAGCACGTCGCGCAGGAGGTGCATGCGTGGGTAGTCGGTGTCAGCGATGACAGGGCATTCGGCGCCTGCTATGCTGAGCACCTGCGTGAAACGCAAAGACATTTGATTTGAGCTGGAAAAACCAGAGGAGCTATGAAGCTCTTTTTACAACAGGTGTCCAGCGAAGCGTAAGTGGGGGGCCGCCAATGGCGAAAAATGACAGGCGAAGTTACATAGGTAGACAAAATAAACAATCTTCATAAACTCGAACAAAAGAACATACCTATATATAGAGTTTACTTTATATTAATAATAATATAAAAAACACACAGCAATAGTTACAAATTATACCACAAAGTTATTAAATCAGTTGGAAATCACAGTTGCAAATGTGAATGGAGTTGGTCGTACCCAACACAATATTCACGCACACCTGTACGTGATACCTTACGCTCAGATTTAACTACACATACAGGCAATGCGAATAACTTAACTTTTCATCCTGTGCTAGCTTGGTCTGGTGTGATGCCTTGGGTAGATAAGTTATGACGGTTACGTCCGTCGAGTACATAAACACATTCGATCAAAATATATTAGGTTATCGTTTTACTGTTGAATTAGGATAAACAAGTGTGAAGTCATATTCGAATAATTAAATAATACATATTTAGCAATGTTAATTCACAGACAAGCTACCAACACGTGGATGGACGGAATTAAGTTCCCAAAGAAGCCTCCAGCACTTGGGAGAGAAACGTCGGACATCCTGGCGAACAACACATGGCACAACCCGAAAACCCATTTGGAGAGCGTGAACAAACAACATGCCAGTCCGCGACCTGAAGACCTGAGCTCACAGGAGTGAAAGGGGAACCGTCCGACGGGCTGACGTTCTCGTAGGAGGCTCGGGGCGGCTCCTGAACGCCTCGCTTGCCTCCAGGGAACCAACCGTGCGACCAATGCTGCCCCAGCGAGGCTGGCGGGGCCGTCAGCAGCCACAGGATCAGCACCAGGGACAGCGACGCGCGCCCCATCCTCCACAGCGCGAGGGACAGACAGCAATCGATTCGTTCATTCATCTCCAACTGTCATTGCTTTATTATCTGTCATTGCCTCCCGGTACTACAATACACCGAAGCCAATATAGTGTACACTTACCTTGCCTCGTTGCCTTCATCAAGAATTAGAGGATTTCCAGAAGCATTCATGTTTAACGTAATTTGGTTGAACCAGGTGGGGACTCAAGAGACAATGATAGTTTAATAACCTGGGTCAATACAATTATAAAAGCAAAACAAATAAACATCAGAACGAAAGCAACTGTATCACATGAGGAATTGAAAGTACTCCAAACATGATTCCCATACCACAAACCGACGAGAGAAGATTATCTCCAGGTTGAACACAGCACAAAAGATACAACTAAACTACATTAATATTAAACATCGTACCCATGACTATTATTAAATTCAAGCAACGTCACAACATATATGCATTCTTTGGGGTTAGTATGATTTAATACTGGGGTGTAACGATGGTGCGGTGGTTAGACGCACTGCGCTATTAACCCGACAACCCCTGAGTTTGATTCCAGACAACGGTTATCATTCGTGCCGAATGATATTTGCCCGCGTCCTTAAAAACCCCACACTGACCGTCGCGATGAACAGGAGGCAAATTACTTGGCTCAATGGTAATGATAGTATATTTTTAATGTTCAACACGAGACTTTCAGAAATGTAGAACGTTATGCTGACCTTGCCCTAACCTTTGAAAGCAATCAATCACAGGGCTAACATTTCTGGTTGCCCGAATTTCACATGCTGGGTTTTATTTTTATTTAAAGCTTTCGTGACTGCAGGGATTCATATTCTTGGTTCTTTCGGTAAAGTCACGTAGAAGGGAAACAATAAAATAATAAAAATATAAAAAACCAATAAAATTCTCACGACTTTTCGACTGCAACACAATCATCAGGTGTGAAAACCACAGCAAGATGTGCTTGTGTTGCAGTCGAAACGTCGTGAGAATTATATTTGTATTATTTTGTTTCCTTTGAACGTGACTTTACCGAAAGAACCAAAAATATGTTGGGTTTTGTTTTAATTGTGCCTTTTAAGCGTAGACTCGACTATTTGTAAAATGTAATGTATTCTAGAACATAATTATACTTTGTATCATTCGGTCACGATCGTATATACATGACTGGTCTGAAACAAAGTATACAGTTTTCGTCTAATGCGGTGTACGCTTTGGTTTGATCGCCTCTCGTGTAGCTTGAGCACAATTGTGTACAACATGTGTATTCTTGGATACGAGATTAATGAACCCAGTGTTATTCTGAAGATTTAATGTCTAGTTCTAGTCAATGGAACATGACTTCAAGTGTTTGGGGCATCCACGCCACCGACAGATGTACCAAGCGTGCCGTTCGTACAGAACACATTGTTTAACAGTAATTACACTTATACCCAGCGAACAGATGTTTAATGCAATTGGCTCTTTCGTGTAATGGGCCAATTAAACTTTCAGGGTACTTCAGACGCAAATTAAGAACAGCAGCGATAAGTTAAATACAGTACTACTCACTTAATCATGTATACATGGCATATTATTCTTGACCGAGTTCCGTCACTCACAAAACAAATCATAAGACACTTCTCTACACTATCATGGCACTATTTAAAGATGTAAGACATTTGTATGTTCTTAAATGTTTTAAATCGCGTGTAAAGTTGTGCGTCTGTTAGACGCTAAAATTCAAGTTCTAAGACGCCTTTGGTTTAATATCCGTAGGAATAAAATTATCCAAAGCCTTACCTTATCAGCAAAAAGAGTAATAATGTTGGCCGACTTGTTGTATAAAGCTACAGGTGGTGTCTGAAGGTGGTGGTCGCCAGCAATGGAGCTTGCCCTGTGCATCACATTGCTGTATATATAGCCACCGCCGCCACCGCCGCAGAGAGACATGGGTAGGGCACGGGTTGAAAGCAGAGGTGAGGAAGAGTTGTCGCGGGACAGAGGAGAATTGCAAAACCAAAATCGATAGCGTCTTCGGATCACCATCGACCAAAGACGGACGTGACGACGACAAAGTAACGTGATGGTTACATTGTGAGCACATCTTACTTTGTGCGTCACACCTGAACACCAAAGCCAAACTATTAGAAACGCATACGCAAGGGTTTCATTGATCATACGATATTTTCCAGAACGCTGTTAAAGCTGGCGGGGAAGTGAAGATTGTCAGCGTAAGGCACTACCACGAGTTACAAGGTGCGCATATCCATAATAAGCCTGTATTATTGTGAGGTTTGCTTAACGCATTTTATGTCTTTGTTGTGATACCGTTCAAAACACCCAAACCAGCATCAGTGCTCGTACTGATACGGTTATTAGGATTTAGAAATGTACACATCATGTACACGATTATTAACGTATATATTAAAACATAGCAGTACACGTTTATGCCCGTTGCATGATTGCATGGTTATACTAAACAAGGAGCAGACGTGTTAGTACAAAATTGAGTAGAGGCGGTTTTCAATCAGATAACCCAATTTAAACTCGGTAAAGAATGCAGCGTGAGAACATGGAGACTGATCTGAATTTAAAGTGTGCCCTGCATATATCTAGAGGCATAAAGTTTTAAATGAATGATCGAGTTTTCCATGCACTTCATAAGAAATCTATTGAAATCCAGTCTTCTACACTGTGGAAAATAATGAAAAAAATGATTACATTAAATTGCACATTGTACTACAATCGGGAGAAAACTGCAAACGATAGATCTTAGGTTTGCTTTTGATCTGATGGTTATAACTTGCGGGTATAATTTTGACAAAATAACTTTACTGAAACTATTACAATCGAATTAAGATTATAGAAGCTAATTGTGCGGACACAATGAGATTGTTCACTTTTAACAGACGCCTTTGATCATTCCCAATATGAAGCAGTAGACTTATGACAATAATTCTTCAACACTGACCATAGTCCAGCTTTAATTGTTATATATCTTAGGACATACCACCTGTATAGTCTTAAGAAATTCAATGCAATGGATCATTGTATTACACTTGTGATGCTATTGCTATGGTTACGGTTTCCCTGAAATTATTCCTCTATCCAAGTTGAATGCTTGGGCACCAGACTGACTTTCATCTCGTCCATATAGTGTTCAGTCACGCCACTGCAGGTCACAACATTTTGATTTGTTCCTATTCCCACACTGCACTTTAGAATTCCCTTCCATTGGCAATTTTCCAAAGTTACTGTAACCTTGCTCAATAAAAAAAAATACTTGTCTATTACACCTTCAATCGTGCTGTTTGTTGCTGGTTGCTTGGAGTTTTGGGCCTCTGGGTCTCCGCCTCAGCAAACGTGAAAATTTTAAACAACACAAAAGCTGTAATACCAAACGTGAATAAGGAATGCTCTTTACAGAATAACAAATAGTGGTCATAGAGATGGTTTAATCAGGTAAACGGCATGTCATTAGTAGGTTTACATTGATTAATACTTTATTTTAGGGGTCTGTGAAACATCCATTTAGAAATAACAAAAAGTATTAACATTAAAATCCTAAAAAAAATAAAAATAAATACGTGAAAATATTAAAATTAACACTCGTAAGAAGAACACAATGCCATAGTACGCAACTTATGCATTTACTTTATATTACCTTCCAGATACAAATGTAAACCCAGAGGGTGCAATAGGGTCCTCTCTTTCCCAGTGCCCTGAATGGTAACCCGCTGGGGACAAATCTTTACCATGAGGGTAATATTGACCTGAATAACAAGGTAATGTATACAAAGCCATATGTTAGCATACCGTTTGTACTTAGAGAAGCATAATTAGCATTTACCAATTATTCACGTGGCCTCTATTGTTTTTAAAATGTTGCACATACCCATGGAGTGAAGCATAGCCCTGAATTGATTGTATTGATACACTTCGCTCATAGGCAACAATAGCTGACCATACAAGTGCATGCTGGCAAGAATCAAATGTTAACATTTACAAAACTACACAAGAATCAACATGTTACTTGCATGGTTTAAACAAGTTATTACGAACTGGGGTTTTTGGCTTCATGCTCTAAAAAAAATAACAAAATGTTCAAAAGTCACAAATAGAACCGCTTTAGAGTTAGCGAGTGTCACATTCATTTTTATAAAATTCAAATCAACAGCTGTTTGGCAATAAAAAAAAAACGCAACCAATGTTTTAACAATTACAAATTTGTGCTCACGATACCTCGTGGATTCTCAATGCCCAAAGAGCTTCATCACCACACTTCCTTTTGTACAATACTTGCCGTTAAAATCGGTCACGACTAAGACAAAAAAATATTAAACCAATTTAAATTTTCATCATAAAGAAGCATTCAATTTGCTTAAAGTTTTACATGTCTCGCATAGGCATGTCCAAAACGCATGTACACATGAAAATGAGATATCCAAGTGACGTCCGAAGCAAATTACAACAGCGCATAGCAAAATATCCCACCGACATTGAGGAACCGCTTAAAATGGCAGCATAAACAGCAATTATTTACAAATAAATGTTTTAACCAACGTGATTATAGCATACTATACAATTTCAATCTCTTGACGAAAAAGTTGGTAAAACGGGGCAATGTTGTAAACGTTCATTTTTGACATTAGTGTAACAAATTATAACACAGCTTTTAGTTAACTGCACACGATCTCTAGACTCCAATTGTATTCGTGTTACGAGCCATATCCAGTAACTATAAAGCATAATCATATAACATGTATTGACGGTAATGATACACTGTTCAAAGTCAATGTGTGCGCACGTACATGGGTCATGCTTATAGCCTGCCACACAAAGTGCCACTTGGGAGTTATGGAGCAGATTTTTATTTATTTCAAAAACTCTGGTTACCCCAATGGCAGAATTACCGCCCCTTTCTTAATTCACTGCTCGATAAAGGCCTCACAACGCTACCGACATTGGTGATGGGGTTTTAGACAAAACTGAGCAAGCCCAGGACCAGTTCAAACATCACTCTTAACTGGCCAGCAATCGAATACAGTTCATTGCAGTGCACAAAACACTACACGTTGCCACTTCACTGCTGTACTGAGTCCCATTTAAGTTAAAGAAAAGTTATTATCTGCATGCAGTATATTACTTCGGGGCATAATGACATTTTTACTGAAATAAAAGATACGTTTGCCCTACAGAATTTGGAAACAATGGTAAAGAACAGACGAATTCAAAGAGAGAAATAAGGTCAGATTAATTGCATTTTTCTTGTTCCAATGCGTCACGTTATGTGACATGGGCAATTTTCTCAGCGACACGATGTGGAGTGAAAGATCCAAGGGGTTCATTCCCTACAAAGGAGGGTGCATCCCCATTTCGTTCTAATAAATGTCTTCAGCTGTGCTGCAGGAAGCTTTTAAGGTGTGAAAGGGACTATTAGCCGTGATCTAAGTGTTGTGGTGCTGGAACCCTCAGACTACCGGAATCGACCACATTGCATTCCAATTGTAACGGTGTGATATAATTGGGAGAAAATGTAAAAATAATTTACAATCCTTCGAGCCACGTCGGTCCTGGGGGTTGTTAGATCATAGTTTTTACGACACTGGTCAGCACAGGTTAGTGATTTGGGGGGGGGGGCAGGACTGGTTCTGATATAACTGGCCACATATGTTTGTTGTGATCTGGAATTGAACTCAGGTCACCAGGTTCAGAGTGAAATGCATTAATCACTGCGCCACTGCTTCCCCCATTCCAAATTGTCGATCTTTATTATATAAAAACAATAAGAGAACAGAAATAATACATTTGTAATCGATGTTTAAATAATGGCAACCGAAAATGTCACATTACATGCTACATATTCTAGAGGCTGATTGAATATTTTTCAATTGAGTGCATTTATTAAGACAATGCACTTGCTTCATAACATTACATACGTGTTTCAGTTACGAAAGAGAACATATAAAAAGGCAATGTGATGTATGTACAACTCTCAATGTCTCCAGAGAGCAAATTGAGAGATTGGAATATAGTTGAAGGCCTCTAAGGCATTGCTTCCATATGACTAAGTTTCAAAAGACCTTTTTTTTCAAATATGAATGGTCGACCCTGTGCAATGCAAATTATTTTAATTTTGGTCACAAAAGATATGTCTTTAGCTTTGTTGAGCCTTCAACACGGTACACTTTCAAACTTTCCATGCAAAAAGGCTAATGGAATTGCGGCTAATTTGCCGAAGCCTCAGACAAAGACCATTTCCTTCTATTTGGAATGAATACATTTTATTGCAATTTCTTTACTGCATTTGCAAGCATACACTGTGGTTTGTAAAGCATTTTTATTAAGACCTGGAATGTAGGGGGGGAGGAATCAGTTTGTGGAGAATCGACTGCGGCTTTAATCGAAATCAATGCAATTTTATATCAAGCTACAGCCAAGCTCTTCCACTCTCGGAACGGGCTTTTTTATACACATTTTCCTTTACTTGAAGTTGGCGTAGTCAGAAAATGCTTCAATATATTCTTGTACAACCTTGTAGCAAAACTCGTACTGCTCCTGTAAATTGAAAGGGGAATAACAATGACAAGCAAGGATGACAAAAGCTGAAAAACTGTTCCTTGGGGACTGATATTCAACAGACACCGAGTATTTTCAAGTCAACCAACATGACATCTCAAAAGGTGGTTGCAACTAATCAATGAGGGGGTTCAAACCCCCAATAAATATGCTGGAAGAATAAATCCAAAATCGAATGGAAAATATATATTCGTTGAATGGTCCACAACAAAAATAGAAGTACAAAAAATACTTATTGACATATTCCCTATCTTGAAAAACAGCATGATAGCTTTAAACTATATTGCAAATTTTCATAAAAACAAAAGTTATGCAACTGAACTTTGAAAAATATTAGATAGTAGAAGTGACTGATAAAGTAACTATGTAGTGACTGAGTTGTTGATGTTTCAGAATGTAACAAACAAATAAAAACTGTCACTGAAAGAACAATATCATCTTTATGTTTTGGCCAACTGGTATTTGGGAATATTATTATTTACAACTAGCCCTTTGCCCATCCAAGGACGGGTGTATTTCAGTAAATCTGAAACTTGCAAGCGAAAAGCAGACTGCGACGTGATATTCATTGCATCAATTCGTGTGCAATTTGTAAGGCCGCGGTGACACAGACTTATTTCATTTAAAGGTTATAATCCCTTGTTCATCATGACGTCCTTTTTACTTTGATGTCTCAACAATAGCGTTACGGAGATCGCGTGACGTGAGGGTTCTGCCTTTGTAGTGAGGGTTGTGAGTTGATGCCGAGGATGGGGGAGGGGGCGCCTCGCCCCCTCCCCCCTCCATGTGGAGTGACGTCACCCGCTACTTATTATTGGCATTGGGGGGTGTCCATTTGGAAGACGTCACCTCTTCATGATTATTAATGAGGGGGTGATCGATGTGGAGGACGCCACCTGTTCATGATTTTGTCTTAAAGCTTTAGTGACTGCAGGAATTCATATTCTTGGGTCTTTCGGTAAAGTCACGTAGATAAGTTCAAAGAAAATAACAAAAAAATAACAAAAAAACTACGACGTTTCGATCGCAACACAAGCATTCGTCATCAGGAAGAAAAAAGAGGGGGACAGCCACCTCTACGCGCACGTGGACGTCGCTCTCCGATCTTCCATTCACATGGGAATCTCTAACATTAACATAGCTACTTCCGTCCCCTCCTCCTGGAGGCCGCCCTCCGATCTTACATTTACATTATGCTAATTTCTCACATTAACATCACAGGCCCCACCCACTTCGTTTGACCCTTGGGCTTAACCCATTTTAAACCTTTAAAACAGTCTGCATCTTTTTCCTTCCTGATGACGAAACGTCGTAGTTTTTTTGTTATTTTCTTTGAACCTATCTACGTGACTTTACCGAAAGACCCAAGAATATACTGTTCATGATTATTAATGAGGGGGGCTGGCCGACGTGGAGTGACGTCACGCACGGGACACAGACATTCTTGGCTCATTATAGTAGTAAATATACAGAAAACATATAGGAGACAGAATAACTGTCAGTATGTTAATACAACCGGATTTGGTAATTGAGATAGCATTAACCCTATAATGCATGAAGTATTAAATTAAAAATAATTTGAAGAAGTAGACTAACTTGAATTATAGGAGTCAAAGGAACCCCATAAAATGTGTTGATTTTTAAAAAATATAATTTCAAAGTCATAAATCACAGCAGTCCACCAGTGGGCATGATGCATGAAAGGCTTAAATAACTGTAATTAAATGCAAAAAGTTATTGCCATTTTTAATTGCAAATACTATAATAAAAATGTTCAGTTAGATTATGATGGGGAATGTGCGGTTTTCATTTGCCCCTTCATGAAAGACAATTAATCTGAGGTGCATGAAACCAGACAAGCGGGAAGGCAGCCAGAATGTCACGTGACTGATACCAAAGATATAATTGTATTTTTTGCGTGAGCTTGTAACAATCTTAAGCGAAACAAGCTCAATTATATTTATTTACATGAAAACAGTATTCTAGTGCTTTTGCATTTCATAAGATAAACCTTTACAGTAAATAGATTTCAAACTTGTGTAATCTCAAATAACTTCAAATCGAGATTGAAAGTTTTAAAGGTTGATTCGACTTGGGGAAATGCTATTTTAACAACACCAACATTACAATGCATTTCCAAATGAAAGCAAGTGTTGCGATGAGAGTCCAGCCAAGGACCAATGGTACAAATGAAATCGCTCACCAAGGTCTGCACCATGTGGGGCCTCTGTGTTCGTAGACTCTTTACCGTCTGAAATACGTCAAGAATTCCTTCCGTCTTCACACGCTCCAGGATGGTGCACAGGGCACAGAATGTGCCAGTGCGACCAGCGCCCGCACTGCAAAGCAAGAAAAAAGTTGCACCATCAGAAGCAGGGTTAAAAGCAGCATCAACCGGGCTAAGACAACTTTCAAGAACTGCTTTGATGTCCCACAATGATTAAAATCTCTAATGGTAATGTGACACCCATTTTTAATAAAATTCCAAACTTTACCGTGACAGAAACCTGTCATCATCATAAAAGACAAGTTAAAAATGACAACGACGCAGTCAAATTAAAAAGTAATTTTCTTTACGTTTCCTAAAGTGTTTATATAAAAAAATGCAAGCAAATTTGATCTGAGCATTAATCAGAATTCTGTGCACGTTTGAGTAAGCGAAAATCAAAAAATCTGTTTGTTGTTTACATTTTTTCTACATTGTGTTAAAAGAGGTCGCTATATTTGGGAGAATTACTTAAAATGTCAGTGACATGTAAATGACAGTTAATTCTGCAAATTCCAATTTACATTTGGGTGATTTATCACATTACGCTGACGCATATGGCTGTTTTCATGATAATAGTGAAATTGCTTCCGTCAATTTAGAAGAGAGCTAACGAGCCTTTACTGCTTTAATCTCACACAGAGAATAGGCATCTGTCACAACCCTCCCCGACCACAGCCACCCAAAATGCCACACCTGCAGTGCACAGTGATGGGATGGTTGCCGGTATGCTGCTGTTGTTTCTGTACAGCAGCAATGAGGCTGATCATGCCCTTGCCATCTTCTGGAATGCCAATCTCCGGCCAGCCATGGAAATGGAACTGACGGATCTGTCGACTCTTGTTTTCCTGAAGGACAACATATGCAAAGTGTGAAAGGATTCAAATGGAAATAATTGTCCCCATGTAAAACATCACTTGCCGGCGCCACTTCGTTTTCCAAGAAGTGAAATTTTTCACTTTTGCAATGCAACTCTTTATAAAAGTGCACGATTTTCAATGCTGGAATCAGCATAATTTCATAAACAATCAATCTTGAAACTATCCCTATTTTAAACTCTGAAAACCCCAGTTATTTTCTTGCTATATTAATATTGAGTAAGCCAGTCAAGAAAACCTCAATCATATTATTTATCAACCTATTTACTCATTTTATATGTATTGTTGTTGGCTAATGATGTCAGTTAAAGTTGATGAAAGCAAAGGAATATTTTTTTGCTCACCTTACATTTTAACATTAAAGCATATACAGATAATACATTGCTATTATCGTGTTCGCAAATTTCCACTGTACATACAGATATTAAATAATGCACAGAGATGCAAAGAGAGATACCACATTGCTTCAAGTCCACAAAATATGTCTGTACATGATATAAACAGGCCTCCATTCTGTATCGCCACATACAAATCAAGTACTAAGCATTTGCATGCTTAAACAAATGCTGCTGGATAATATTTGCCTGGAAAACCAATGACTAAATATTTACATTTTTTTGTGCTGAGACAAAGAATGGAGGTTTGTTTATAGATAATGGTCTCTTTATAAATAATGTTACCCACAATGCGTCACAACAATTCACTAAAAAGGACCTGTCATGGGTGACTGCCATGCTGAGTTTCACAGCTCAGTAAGACAAAGATGCCCCATATAGCATTTAAGACTGTTGGGGAAAGTACTGTTTTTGAGCATATATTAAAGCCGGCACAGGGTCGGTAACCAGCACAATGCCCGGCTGCCTTTGTCTACCATGTGGCAATGTTAACACATCACACTAGGTGCACATTTAGCCGTGAGCAGAAATCGAACTTGGGCCGCCAGGTTCGTAGCGCAGTGTATTGACCGCTACACTACCACTCCCCAAACGCGCGCAAGTATGGTTCAAATAAAAATAGCAGCAGCTCACCCGGGTGTTAGACACGCTGAAGTCACGCACGGTGTAGCTGTCGTGCGAATTCTCCTGCTTTAGCTCGATGATGATGTCGCCGTATGTAATCGTGCCTTCGGTGGGCCAGTACCGGGCACATTTCTCCTGAATTCACGCGCACGAAAAATATCAACACGTTATTTTGTTCTAATACGTGCCCTGCTAATGTCTATGAATTGGTTGAGTTTTACACCACTGCAGTATTACCTTGATTGCAATCGTAAGCTTTGACAAAAAATATTACTTCACGATTTAATGTACATGTTGCTACTCCTCTTTTTTTACTTCGGTAGAAATTGCAAAATAATATATAGTTTGCATACATTTGTATACAGATTCAAGTACAAACTAAACTAATGAGCACTGTGAAACATTTTTTTAAAATGGTTCTATTACCAAGGTTGGGAGTTAAAATATATTGTAAACCGATACATTTGGCACAGTGTTTGTTTTCTTTTGTACAAGTTATAGTTGGTAAAACTAGAAAGCCATAATACATTGGATTTAAAGCTTTCGTGACTGCAAGGATTCATCTTCTTTGATTCAAGTGATATGGAGAAGGCCGCTTGTGTTGTGGCCGAAACGTCGTGAGAATATTATTGTGTTATTTTATTTTATCAATTTATTATTTTATTCTCATTCTACGTGACTTTACCGAAAGAACCAAAGAAGATAATAAATTGGTTCGCGCGATTTTTTCTTCCTAAATCTTTATATATATAAGTCAAGGAGTAGAGCAGTGGAGCAGCAGTTATAGCAGACTAAATTACAAACCCGGTGAGTTGAATTCGATTCCTGGCCATGGATAATATCATTGATGCATGTGATACCTGAACTAGTGCTGGGTTCCACCCCATCGCCATTCACAACAAGCACTGATCAGCGTGGTGCAGTATGGTTAAGCAAGGAATGGAACACATTCAAGAGGACGTCTACAAAGAAGATTGAGCAAGGAAATAAGCTCATGTGCAGGTGCCAGTTGGATTGTTACATCGGGAGGACCATGAGAGATGGCGACGACTTTTGGAGGCTTTCATCCAGCAGTGGATTAATCAAGGCTGAAGATGAAGTTCTGCAATCAAGTGGGTTCCATAATACAAGCAAATGTATGTCTTGAAAACAATACCTGGCCCCTCTCCTCCAACTCGGTCAGCATGACGATGGAACAGGATCGCCACTCCCACACCATCCGCCAGAAATCCTCAACCGTTTGCTGCAAGGGACCTTGGCCAGCTAAAAATGCATCTTTTTGCCGATAGCCCTAAATACACGTTTCAAAATATAAAAGAAAACATACAAATTATATGCCTTCACACTAATATAGGATGTCATATATACACAAGTGATATGAAGAAGGGCCATTGCCTGAAACGTCACCTATTATATATCTTTCCAATGTTATTGATAAACGTGCTGAACACATATATGGTTTCAAATTAAAAGCGTAATCATTTCCCTTAAAGATAAATATTAACTGGGCAAGACTGCCATGGTATTTTTAACCCCATTGATGCACAAACACACAATTGTATTCACATGAAGGTGACCTTTATTTCAGAGAGGTCACAGCCAGTTCCTGTGACTGTATGGCAGATGACTGGGCTCAATCAATTTCATGGCCACAGCAGAGCTGCAAGCAAATATCACGCTATTTAACAGGTGCGAAGCCTCTCGCCATGGACCATGTGGGGATTGATTCCCAAACATAATTGTATTTGCTCAGCCGCATTGGCAAACACACTTAGGTGGCATGTGTATAGCTTGGCAATAATCAATTCAATTTGCCGGCACATATAGATGTTTGTAACAAAGTCCTATATATCTGTGCAGATGTTTTGCTTGTTTAAAGTGGCTGTATAAACCTATGCTGTATTTTCATATCAGAGATTTCCTTGTAAAGATCTTATTTAAATGGCAAAAACATTGAAAACGTTCTGTTTGCTGTGCAAAACACATGTGACATTTTTCTACACGTGAAGCAGAGTTACGCTTTATTTCTTGTTCCTAGGCAAATGTTTTTATTATTCTACACGAAACATATATATGTAAAAAAGCACTCACGTCAATAAAAGATCCGTTTATATAATCGGTGAATTCCTCTCCTCGCTTCATAGGTATAATAACGCGATTAAAATCATCTGTAACACAACAACAAATTAAACACATACCAAGAAAATGCACAAATCTACACGCATGCCATGTGAAGTCAGCACTGTAAACGTTTGAACTTGAGCCTTGAAATAGACAAACGGTTGCTCTTGCGGCATTTCTGTACAACTGACATTTTCTAACAGTCAGCAGATGGCGATGTTACCTCAATAAATTGAGCTTTACATATTTTCCTTATATGAAATTTAGAGGTAAGATTGTTCTGACATTTTGAGCCAACAATTACTTATTTGCTGCGCATATTATCGGTAATTATCGTTGTCAAAATATAGCAATGTTTGAGTAAAAAGGCTTCGTGAAAATGTGTTTAAACATTGCAGACCTCATTAATTTCTTTACAAAAGCAGACCCAAGCAGATGATTAATGTGGCAACATGGCCAGCGAAAAAGTCTAGACGACTCTTGGGTAATCAAATACTGCAGATCAATGCTAATGTGCCCCTGAACTCTGGGGAATGCTTTGTGTGGCATTAATGGCAAAAGGTAGATTGTCACTTTTTTTAAGTGATAAAATAACCTTGATCATTAGCCAAGCCCTTTTTCTTAGTGTGCTGTACATTTTATAAATTGGCGAAGGTTGCTATTCACAAAGGCAAATCAGAAGTACCCATCTATGGAATAAAATTGTTGTCATAAGGGGAAGAGAGCTCCGAACATGTCTTGTGCCACTTACAAGGAATGATTTGTAACACCCTGTTTTTCTTCATGTTGGCTGGGAGATTGCCAGTGCGCATCTTTTCATTCTGAATCTTCACAGTCGTTAGTTTCTGAAGAAGATAACGTTGTTTAATTGCACATTTTTAAATTAGTTGTAACTAGTACATTGGTTGGCACAATGCAATATGAACCTGGAGACTAAAGTTCGATTCCCAGCTAAAGCTAACATCGGTGGAAAACGTTCCGAGCTGGTTCTGTGCCCCTTCACCAACCCCACACTGACCAGCATGGTGAAGTATGGTTAAACAACCCCCATGACTGACGTGGCATGGGGGACCTTCATCCAGTTGTGGACTAACAAAGCACTGTAAATTATCTTTGCCCAATTTGTATTTGCACAATTATTTTTGTAAACAAGGAGATTGACTGAATATTTCTCTCCTCTATAAGAACATGTATTTTGGTATTAATTAGGCTCATCGCATTTTCACGAGTGAAAAAAGAACAAGTGTTACGCATCTTAGAAAAAAAATACCAAAAAGCCAGCTGCTATAGTCGGCCTAATACAGCGAGGGAAAAAAGTATTTGATCCCCTGCTGATTTTGTACGTTTGCCCACTGACAAATAAATGATCAGTCTCTAATTTTAATGGTAGGTTTATTTGAACAGTGAGAGACAGAATAACAAAAAAATCCAGAAGAACGCATGTCAAAAATGTTAAATGGGTTTGCATTTTAATGAGGGAAATAAGTATTTGACCCCCTCTAAATCAGAAAGATTTCTGGCTCCCAGGTGTCTTTTATACAGGTAACGAGCTGAGATTAGGAGCACACTCTTAAAGGCAGTGCTCCTAATCTCAGCTTGTTACCTGTATAAAAGACACCTGTCCACAGAAGCAATCAATCAATCAGATTCCAAACTCTCCACCATGGCCAAGACCCAAGAGCTCTCCAAGGATGCCAGGGACAAAATTGTAGACCTACACAAGGCTGGAATGGGCTACAAGACCATTGCTAATCAGCTTGGTGAGAAAGTGACAACAGTTGGTGCGATTATTCGCAAATGGAAGAAACACAAAACAACTGTCAATCTCCCTCGGCATGGCGCTCCATGCAAGATCTCACCTCGTGGAGTTGCAATGATCATGAGAACGGTGAGGAATCAGCCCATAACTACACGGGAGGATCTTGTCAATGATCTCAATGCAGTTGGGACCAAAGTCACCAAGAAAACAATTGGTAACACACTACGCCATGAAGGACTGAAATCCTGCAGAGCCCACAAGGTCCCCCCTGCTCAACAAAGCACATATACATGCCTGTCTGAAGTTTGCCAATGAACAACTGAATGATTCAGAGGACAACTGGGTGAAAGTGTTGTGGTCAGATGAGACCAAAATGGAGCTCTTTGGCATCAACTCAACTCGCCGTGTTTGGAGGAGGAGGAATGCTGCCTATGACCCCAAGAACACCATCCCCACCGTCAAACATATAGGTGGAAACATTATGCTTTGGGGGTGTTTTTCTAAGGGGACAAGACAACTTCACCGCATCAAAGGGACGATGGACGGAGCCATGTACCGTCAAATCTTGGATGAGAACCTCCTTCCCTCAGCCAGGGCATTGAAAATGGGTCGTGGATGGATATTCCAGCATGACAATGACCCAAAACACACGGCCAAGGCAACAAAGGAGTGGCTCAAGAAGAAGCACATTAAGGTCCTGGAGTGGCCTAGCCAGTCTCCAGACCTTAATCCCATAGAAAATCTGTGGAGGGAGCTGAAGGTTCGAGTTGCCAAACGTCAGCCTCGAAACCTTAATGACTTGGAGAAGATCTGCAAAGAGGAGTGGGACAAAATCCCTCCTGAGATGTGTGCAAACCTGGTGGCCAACTACAAGAAACCTCTGACCTCTGTGATTGCCAACAAGGGTTTTGCCACCAAGTACTGTCATGTTTTGCAGAGGGGTCAAATACTTATTTCCCTCATTAAAATGCAAATAAATTTATAACATTTTTGACATGCGTTTTTTTGGATTTTTTGGTTGTTATTCTGTCTCTCACTGTTCAAATGAACCTACCATTAAAATGATAGACTGATAATTTCTTTGTCAGTGGGCAAACGTACAAAATCAGCAGGGGATCAAATACTTTTTTTCCCTCACTGTATCTGTTTTGACTGAAACAATCCATAGTAAATTACAATTGTTTGATGACAATAAAAATATAATATAGTATTTATAATACTGATCATGTTTTTTAAATCAATACGTCATTGCTTTTGGGGTCAATCGAGCCCAGCTCACCTTAGTTCTATTCCCAAACCATGGTTAGCATCAGTAGTGAGTCATATCTGAATCGGTCCAGAGCAGCCCCCCCCCCCCCCATGCCCCCCCCCCTCCCCAAATTTAGGTTTAAAAAACCCCATGAACAACACGATTTAGGGAGGACATCCAGTCAATGCCACGCGTGACTTTATGTAACACGAACCCCCTGTCACAAATCTATGGCAGGAGCCTTTCATTAAATAGCTCTATTGAGAGGCAGGTTTGGCAAACACCGTCTTTGTGACTTGCTGCACCTTGAACTCATCCTCCAAGCCTGTGCAGCCAGTGGGAGTGTTCTTGTTGTAGAGCTTCTGCAGGTGGCTCTCGAGCGAGGTGACCTCGAGCTCCGTGTCTCCGTACAGCTGGAACTCCAGAAGGGCTTGGTAGATGAACACATACTGCATGTCCGTCTGCACCATCTGGCAGCGCTGGGCACGGATGCGTGTCACGAAGCCGAACACATCCACCTTGCGCTCTGTCTGGATCATGTCCAGCATGGCGTCGATCACGATGAAGGTCCCCGTGCGGCCCACACCCGCGCTGAGCAAGGGAACATGCAGCAGCGGGCGGGCGAGCGGGCGCGCGCATGTGAGACCGCGAAACACATCTGGCTCGTGGAACGATTGTTGCTGTGGTAGACATTACGTGACATTCAGGCAATGCCGGTCGAAGAAAAAAACAACGTATAGTATTAAAAATAACGGTTCCCAAGTGCAGGAATGTGAATTCAGCATTGCATGTAAGTTTTGTTCATGCACAGATGCAAATGTGAATAATTGTTTTTATTTGGATGGCTAATGAGACATTTTGTGGTGTAGCCATGTGTGTTTCAAATTAAAATAACTATTTTAAAATAGATATTGCCAATGTACATATAAACAGCTTTGAGGTAGAACTGAATAACAGTAAACAAATGTGTCACAAGTACATATAGGTCATAGGTAAAGGGAGCTACATAGATATTCTAGAGTGATATAAAAAAGCAGTCTAATATTTAAATGCAACAAAAGTGATTAAAAACAATCATACCTGCAGTGCACAACAATAGGCCCAGCATATGGTGGGTTGCAGGTTTTAACCTTCTTGAGGAACTTCAGCATGCCAATGGGGGCGAAGGGTACTCCAAAGTCTGGCCAGCTGGTGAAGTGGAACTGGGTGATCAGCCTGGGAGGCTTCTTGTTAGGAATGTCTCCCACCTGTGCCAAGAGCAAGCATTAAGTAGACATTTCTTCGAATGCCACTCATTGACAACAAATGCAAGTAAGAATTTAAAAGGTGCATGTTATAATATAATTTTAAACATTTCAAATGCACAAAAATGTAGCAACGTTATTGCAAAAACAAAAATGGCCAAAGGGAAGAAATAAGTATAATTTTTAAGTCAGATTTTTTAGCAATGATTACTAATATTCTTGACACATTATGGGAGGCGAGACTTAGAAGGTTTGGGCCATGTGCTGAGAAGAGGCAAAGAAGATGCAATGATAAGGGCTATGGAGATGTCACCAGTGCAGGGCAGTACAGGGTGAGTTTGAAGGATAAGGTGGAACGAGATTATAAGAGTGGATGTGATTAGAGGAGCACGGAATAGGAGCACGAAGACAGATATAATTCCGAGCAGCCGACCCTATGCAATATTTGAACTTTTCTCTGATAAAAAGCAGAGCCATATATAAAATTACATTCTCTGTTTGTCCACAATTTATCTAACAAAGGGCTTAATAGACATTAACGTGACTTGAAAATAACATGAACACACAGCTCCGTCATGATCAGTCATGGATCATGACAGGCTCTTGGCTCAAGTGCAACCTCGTGCAAATGATGCCAGCAAACCTCTCGTGCCCAGGAGTTTCAGCTGTCAGCACTGGGCAATTAAAATATGTTAGTGAATTTCAGCAACTGTGATCTAGCCCACACTGAAAACAAAACTGATTGGGTTTATGGAATAACCTGGCCACCATTCCCAGTGTACAAAACGATTTCAGTCATGAAGATGTACATGCAGATAACCTAACACTAACATTCGGCCTCCGTGGATATGAATGGCATTTTTTTCATTACATTACTTATTTGTGAAAATAAACAAAAACAGTCGTTATAGTCAAGTAAAATAAACAGTATTAATCTTGCAATTTTTCGCTAATTACATTCAATCGCCTCTGTCCAACCCAGGAGCATAAACGGGTACTCCACAGTTTGTTTAGTGGCAGGTCACGTGTATGGTGTGTGGGATATCAAGATGTCAGGCCACTGTAAAAGAGAGGGATAAATACCGATTTAAAGCTTTCGTGACTGCAGTAATTCATATTCTTAGCTCTTTCGGTAAAGTCACGTTGAAGGGAAACAATAAAAAATAATAAATATTGTTTTATATATATTTTATTATTTTATTGTTTCCCTTCAACGTGACTTTACCGAAAGAGCTAAGAATATAAGGCTAAATACCGTTAACAGGAGCTCTCTCGAGCTTCCTCTTGTGGAGGCCCTTCCGCCAGCAATGATGTAAGCAAACAATTGCAAGGCTGCACCTTTACCTTCTACACTCGACCTCCAATATACCCCCACAGGCCAGTCCATGCCTGATTGAAAAAGCAACTTTAAGTACTCCACCACAAGGTGGCAATGCATTACTGGGACAGTGAAGGCAAAAAGGGGAATTGCACACTGCAGAAATCTCACCACTTGGATGAGAAACTTGCGGATGGTGTAATCGACCAGCACGGTAACATCCTCCACCGACACCCGTAAGTTTCCGTATGTCCAACACCCTTGGTCAGGCCAGTACTGTGCACACTTGCACTACACACAGCGAGGAAGGGGAGAGTGAGGGTCAGACAACCACGTAAGCTATGTGTTATGGTTTAAACATAAGGCAGAACTGGCACGAAAGGACACAAGGTGAAATAAACTAGTTGAAACGTGCATTTGTTTAGTGTGGGGGAAAATATATGGTTTGTAGCTTATGAAGTTTAATTTGACCACTGCTCCTAATACTTCCTCTTGTGAGATCAACTTACAATAGCAAAGTTATACATATTGCAACACTTATGAAAACAGTGAAGAGAATAGTATAAATACAAAATAGGCCTTACAGCCAAACACACATTTTGAAGTAGGCCTTACAATCACTCGTTAGAAAATTTCACGCGAGTGATTATTTAAATACAATATTGTGACTTTACCAGTAATTGTTAAAGGTTTGTAATATTTTTTGTTATAACGATCGAAATTTAGTTCAGCCTAAATAAAATATGTAATAAACATTTTTACTATTTTCACATTGAGTGACCTAAAATCACGCAAAAATATCTATTTTTGTGTAAGTGTAGAGCATGCATCACTGGATTGTTACAGATATACACACCAAACCGTTTTGTTAATGGGCATTTGTTTTAGAGATAGGGTGGCATTGATGCATGACCAAAGTTTTAAACAAGAACTATCAGGCATATATTGAGCAGGACACGTTCCTAGAAAAAAATGACAGTCGGTGGTTTAAACTAACGATAGTGGCAGACAAGGGAGGGAACTTGCCCATAAAGGATGTCCACAACGTAGAGATGGAGGGATAAAATCAGCTTGTGAGAAGGTATTAGATGGATTGTTACATCGTAGGATTAAGAGATGATGGTCTGGGGAGGCATTCATCCAGGATATTGTTGATCATGGCTGATGATCGGAGGCTTGCAGCCAATGACTATTAAGCCTTTTTTTCACGAGTTGGATTGTTGTAAACGGGCAGGTTCTGGTTCAAAACCATGTCTATCTTTCTGTCACGGCAAACATGAACATCTAAGTCCTATTTTGGTCAAGAAAACGTGCATGCGAAGCATCACTTGGGTTCCCAATACAATCTCTCAATGGATATTCTTTCTTTACACCCTGCCTTGTAGTAGACTGTGTACTGCTTTTGGGAGTCAAAAATAGGCTGCTGATGGATAACAGTTGATAAATTTGAAGACACCGTGCTGTGTATACAAGCCAGAATCGTATATATATTATAAATAATACAGAACATCACAAAGTTAGTATGACTAAGTTACGTTAAAAAAACCTACCAAATTATGTTTTATTACGTATATTCATTTTAACGGTCTTCGTAAAAAGGACATGAACATTTCCTTTTTTTACCAAGACAATTAAATTATAAACAGGAAGCACTTTGCTCCATATTGTTGGTCATTAGAGATCTCCCTGGGGCAGAGCTGCAACGGCGTGGGTAAACAGCCCTGCAAGCTTTAAGCACTTTAACGACCTGCACCAATTAAGCCATGGAAGCAGACACTCAAACAAAATGCAATGTCTGCCCAACTTCACTTTATCTGATAAAGAACATCAGGCTCTTTTTTTGTTTAAACACGAATCAGCTGATCATTGATATGCCAATAAATGCAAATATGTTTTCTTAGCATGAGCAGTGAGCCAATTGGAACATGAGAATAATGTTCAAACGCTTTGAAATGATCTTATTATAAGCTCCATCACCTGCATAATAATATATTTAAATGTAGCTTACTTTAAAAATAAGCCATGTCATTGTTCACTTGCAATAAAACGGCACATAACAGAACATTATTTTGCAAAGACAAAGGGTAAAATAAGTTTGCACCATGTAGTGAAACTATCGAGTATAGCCAGTTCAGTTCACAGATACTTAACAAATTAAAGTGGTAATGATGGCACATGCAATACATGCATTTTTTAATTGCACAGATTATTGTTCATTTGCCTGTGACCAAATTAGCTGGAAAGCACTCAATCTTGTCAGATGTTGGAATCCAAGCAGGCTTGATCCTGGATAGTGCTTAAGTGGATGAACACCATGCAGACTGCTATCGGGCTACATTGTTAGCAGCATGCAATGCCAACTGGCATTGATCAGGGTGGTGAAATCTGGTAATATAACCTCCACGATCCACATGGCATGGGGAGGATGTCATCCAGCAGTGCATTGACACAATTGCTGTACATGTACCTTAATATTAATTTAATTAAGGAACTAAAGTAGATATTGTAAGTACTGTGATTAAAGTAATCACATTTAGTTATTCAGGGGAAGTGACTTCTGACATGTCCTTAAAGGTCATTCATCATTCAGCATTGTACTGACAAGCAAAATAATGCATGATTGCCTAAAGCTCAACTTACATGTATGTGAAGAGTTCAGATTGACATTTATAATTTTCAAAGACAGCTAGTTTTTTTTGTAGGTGCTAGGTGGATCTTTAAAGCACAGAGTTTGAGGTGTGGGGATCCTTCATCCAGCAGTGGATTGATTATGGCTGATAATTAAGACATTCACATTAATAGTACAAAAAAACAAATGTTCTGCAGTAATAACTATAGCAAGCAAACTTCAGTCAAGTTAAAACTGCAAGTCATCTCATCAACAGGCACCAATGAATATACCATGGTATGAAAATAACCATTATGGTATTTAGATTAATGATGGAGTCCCAGCCAAGGAATGAGACACGCCAGAGAAGACATCCACCCAAGAGACGGTGCAATTAAATCAGTTCTTGTGCAAATGCCAGACAAAATTATTACATCGCAGCATTGCGAGAGGTGGTTGCAGCTTGGGAAAGGACACTCATCCAGCAGTTGGATTGATCACGGCTGATGATTTAGATTCGTGCAATAAATATTTTGCTTCATGCTTAACGGTGTATATAAATCCTGCTCGAAAAAATATTGTCGCTGTCTGGCCCAGTCCTGCTGCAAGCAGCTTGTTCTCTTGTGACACAGGAACCCAAAAGACCTCACAATTACACCCCCACCCAAGTTGCCTTCCTACATTCCTAGATACAGGGGCTTTTGGTACGGTGTGATAAGCAGCAACCAACTGTAAATCGGCGTTTTCTTTCTGGCGCAGCCCAAACCGACAACCACAAAATGTGTGATAATGCCTGTTTCATTATTCCTTTATCATTGCTAAACACCCAATGCAAACCTCAAAAATAATTCTCCAGAGCATACCAGATTGTACGATGTGTTTTACCCTGCATGATGCAGCATACAAAGAAATGTACACTGTACTTAGGCCGCACTTACTATTTTGTGAAGGATATAATTGCACGTTCTTAAAACAATCAGTTATTCTAATAACACCTTATATATCTTCTCAAATGAACATCGGGGTCGTGGTCATTTAGTTCTGAGCCAATAATGGAAATCCCCTATTCCTATGGCAGGTTAAACTCTAACCGTAATAAAACCACTGTTGACATCCCGAAAAAGTTACGAATTTTATCGAACCCTGCCAGATTATGGGCTAAGTCAACCCCCCCCACCCCAACCAATATTTAAACATGCAACCTTTTGATTGCAAGTCGTACACTATCAGAGCCACCTGCAACTTGAATGACATTCTTTTGCCTATTTGGTGAGAATTCTTACTTGAACTGGATAAACCGGTAGAGTTATGCAAAGGTCCTAGAAGTCTGGCAGATGTGTTGGATCACAGGTGAACACAAGCAAAAGCCACCCACAATAAGAACGTTTTACTTTTATACTAGAGCCAAACAGTCACCTTCTCAAAAAGTGTTTTCATAAGCATAGCCTTGACAATGACCATTAATAAATAGCATTAATCTCACATGGTCACTCATTATGAAACCCTAATATTGTATTATGCTATCCAAAGGATTCAAATGTCATATATGAAAGGATATGAATGAATCCAAACATTACCGTGAGTTTAGCATGCCATGGAAATACGTGACAGTCATGATTGATTGCCCATACACACTGTTCCAAAATATCCTATGCCATTTAGTTTTACACTAATATGTTAAATTGGATTTCTCTTAAATGTTTCATTGTTTGCGAAAGCAATATCATTTTAAAAAGTTGAGTTTAAAGATATGAGATTATGTGGAAGTTTCGATTATCATTGTTGTTTTACTTTTATATGTAACACTGGGAAGAAAAAAAACATGAACCAGCCTGTTAGTCACTGATCTTTCATCATCATCATCATTTCATCATCAACAGCCATGAACTATCCACTGCTAGATGAAGCCCTCTCTGCACGTTGTCACAATCTTTTATAGTCTCGTGATGTCTTAATCCATCTCACTCCTGCACGTGCGAAAATCTCATTGCTCAATCTCCGCAGTGGTTGCCCCTCGGGGGCATTCAATCCTTTGACCGTCTCTCTATCACCAGTTTCGTCCTTCAACTACCATTTGTCAGTGACGATGTTTATGATCCACAACATTGTGGGCCAATTGAAAATAAATATTTATTCACATCGATGTTGCTTTTCTTTATCAAAATCAGTTCAATAAAAAGCATTCCAAACTTGCTGTATGTAATTTTTTTTTTTATCTCGGTTCACCTTCGATATTTTCCCAATATATAAATAATTGTGTTTTCCAGTTGTGTCCCTCTGACAATTATGTTTTTTTCAGCGAACTTGAATGTGATTTTTGTTTGGCTCCTATTTATGAGCAAACAAAATAATCAAATGTATAGCCTTCTTTGTTATGTATTTTCAACAATTTGTGTAGTTATTTTTCATTGCTTGTTACAATGATTATGTCACCAACAAATCAAAGATGGTTAATGCTCTCTCCATTCATGTGTATGCCTATATTTCTCCAATACAATTTTCAGAATATATCTTATGTCATTGTGAATAGCCATGGTAGGAGTTCATGTCCTTGCATGGCTTCTCTTCTGATTTGAATTTTGTTACATTCTTTATTCAACATCAATGCAGCTGTTCCATCTTTATAAATGGCTTTGATGATTTCTATATATTTTCATTATGGTCTCCATGTGGAAGCCTGTAAGACTGTATCCGTTTACATGGGGGGAAAAAAGCCCTTTCTTAGTCTTCAAAAGCCAGGTAGAATGGAATTTGATGATACTTGCCTTTATTTATTTGATTGATAGAATGTACGTGGTTAATGGAAAACAAAAAGCTTTTCTCAATCCAACTTGCTCAAATGGTTGGTAGGCCTCTAAATTACCCATTGATTAGTTAAATAATAAACTAGCGCTATGTGTTGGACTGAAATTGGGGGGGGACAAAGTAAAAAAAGAAAGAAGAAACCAAGTCATGTGAAACAACAAATGTACATTGAATAAATAAGAAATTTTGATTTAAAGCTCTCGTGACTGCAGAGATTCATATTCTTGGTTCTTTCGGTAAAGTCACGTAGAAGGGAAACAATAAAATAATAAAAATATAAAACAATTAAATTCTCACGACGTTTCGATTGCAACACAAGCAATCAAGTGTGAAAACCACAGCAACAAAATTGAATAAAGTGACGGTTATTTTTAACATTAAAAAAACGCCACTTTTTTCAAATTTTCTTAACGTTAAAAATAACCGCAACTTTTTTCAAATTTTCTTGCTGTGGTTTTCACACCTGATGATGATTGCTTGTGTTGCAGTCGAAACGTCGTGAGAATTTTATCGTTTTATATTTTTATTATTTTATTGTTTCCCTTCTACGTGACTTACCGAAAGAACCAAGAAAATGAGAAATGTTATAAATGGATGAAAATTCCAAATAAGGGACTGTACAAAAAACGCTGGAAACCCAAAAGAAATATAATAAGATGATAAAATTAAGAGAAGACTACACAAAGGTGATTGAAGATTTCATGACAAGCTATGGGAGCATGGTAGTACAGTCATATAGAATGTACCACATGCAGTTGGTTAATTGTTGGTACATCGCAAATAGTAGCCCTGAGAGCATGATGGAACCACCACAATGCATGATAGAGACAGAGACATAAAACTAGAGGACGAATTCTGTTCAAATCATGAGCAATAAAAGCACATATCACAGGCTGACTTATATATGTGAACAAAACACTCTGGCACATTTCGTAATCATTACATTACTTTGTTTATTAATTCATTAATATGCGTCTTATCTGGTGCATTATATCAAGTCTAATTTAAACCATGATCTGTCATTATTCCTAATTATCTCTCTGGAGATTTCAAGGAAATAAGGCGCAATTTCAACATCCACTGTGAATGTTCATTTTTATTTCTAGCATAGCCTTATTTTACGTGAGGTTATTGCCGACAATGGCAGGATGTGCCACCTATCAAAGTTTTCAAAATTAAAAATAGTCATATTGCACCCCACCTTCCAAAAGGCTTAGACTTCCTGAATGTGTTTTTGTTGGGGTGGTGAAGGGGTGGGGCAAAAGAATGATGGGTGTTAACAAACTTTGAATCTGTTAGAAATTCTCTCTGAGGAGCAATGCAGACTCTGCAGGGGCTTGTGTTCGTAAATACAAATACATTAACCTTTGAACTGTACACCGAGTTCTAAGAGGATAAAGAAGACAGTCAATGATGCAAGGACAACCTGCCACTCCTGCTGGCAATGGGCAAATCTAATCTGCCAAGTGTGGCCTTGTCAGGTGGCCCCCAACAATTCAAGGAAAGGTAGGTCTTGCAGAGGGCAACATGCTTGGGGGGTAAGGATGCTGAGGTTACGGACACTCTGCATTGTCTTGTCCAACAACTATATTCACTTTCCATACAGTAAGCAGAATTCCAAGGCAGCTGACACGGACAGTGTAAAAAAAAGTGTTGTATTCACATATGAATATTAATAATGTATTGTCTTGCACGGTATTAAAACGCTGACATTAAAGCTCTCTTTGTAACCATCACTGGCGGTCCTTAGCAGAATAAACTCTTCTTTGCCGTTTGATGAATCAGTCACAACAGTCGTGTATTTACATGGCACGGTAAGGCAAATGCTCCTGCTTAAAACACATGCCCTTCACTGTGGAACTCTGAGAGGTGTTTCAAACATCATAATTAACTGAAACACTGAGCAATGTGCCGAAGCAGTACATAGTCGAAAGTTGTTGTAAACGTTGATATGAAAAAGTAACATATTCTGCTCAGTATTCACAAACGTGCCTATAACCAAATTACCCAGAATTTAGCCGATCTCATAAAATATCAGAAGCGAAGTGGAGTTAAGCCTAGAGAGTGATTGGATGATGTTATAGGCTGCGGAGTTATGGGCAGCGGAGCGAAGTGCTGCAAAGTCAATTGCTGTATGATACGTCTAAGCTCGATGATCTATGCTCTTCACAAACTCTCACTGGCAAGTGTGGTTAGGAATTGGCAAATAACACTCATGATCCATGCAGCATGGGAAGATTCATCATCCAGAAATTAATTTACGCAAGAGGGCTGTCCATAGACATGTGCACATTCACAAATGTATGCAGATATGAAGCACATTGGGAAAACTTTTCGGTTGCGAAGTGGACAAACCTCAAAATCAAAAGCTATGGGTGTGTGGCTTTCATTCGAGTTCAACAGCTACACATTCAATTAAATGCACTGTGAAGCATGACTGGTGAACTGGCCGGTCAACAGGCTATTCAGCCCCAGACCTCGCTTGGGGAGCTGCTTTTGAACTATTAAAATAATTTAGTTCTGCTGCTCTTTTAGTTTTTTTTCAGCCAAGCATCTTAGCCATGCTTCACTACTTTGCAATAAATAATAAAATCACACTGAAAAAAATAAACATGTGAAAATTACTCAGCTGTGTCAAACACTTTGCAGTTGCTTGAAACTTTTATTCAGCGGTGAAGATCATGTGTACACGCTAATTAAATCACAAATTGGCCTCAAAGTGAGTCACGCTTTTTTTTTTTAAAAAGAAGTAGGGAGGAAATGGCATTTGATTTTCCTCCCTGTAAGATGGCGAGTGAATTTCCTTGCAAATTACCTCCTTCCTTTCCTTCAGGTTGGTCACCATGACGATAGTGGCAGTGTTCAGTTCCCAGATCATCCGCCAGTAGTCATTTAGGGTCTCCTCTTTTGGGCCTTTACCGATGAGCACAGAAGTCAGGCGTCAATAAGCAGAGTGACATATATATAGATTATATTAGCAAGGATAATGCAAAGGATTTAAAGATATATATATTTCTACTAACAGATTACCATTGTCAATGAATGATGATTGCAACACTATTGTGAAGCAATGAAAATATAATTTTAACTGTTATTAATATGTACGCTTTCTCAAGAAAAGTATATTGTAGTTAGCCTTTTACAGTATTTGTGAATGATTTGCAGGGGTTTAATTATTCACCCGCTTGCAATGTAATGAATTATTGTGATTCAGGGTCGTGATTCAACTTGAGGATAGATAAAATTTGTAACATTTAATGAGATGGTCTCGAGTGACTACAGAAGTCATGGAGAAGCTAGTGCACATAAAAATAGAAAACCAAAAAAAAGACTGATTCTAACACACACGAGTCAACACATTAATGAATATATCTTTGCATCGTTACACCCCTAATTGGTTATTATCTGGACTTACATATGCATTATCCATTCTCTTTAAACAACCAAGCATACAAAAGTGTGAGCCAAATTTTTTTATTATACCAAAATATTCAGTGTCAAATTAAACAGGTATTCTCATATCTATATAGAACTACAGCAAGCGACAAATAAACACGAAAATTATTCAAGACTGCACACATTAAGAACATAACTGATATGTTAGTAAACAGTAATTAGGATTAAATTTTGATTTAAAGCTTTCGTGACTGCAGGGATTCATAGTCTTGGTTCTTTCGGTAAAGTCACATAAAAGGGAAACAAGTTTATTGACTTGTTTCCCTTCTACGTAACTTTACTGAAAGAATCAAGAATAGTAATTAGGATTATTACTGGTATGTTAGTTTCACTTACCCTGAGCTGCAATAAATTTGTTCTTCTCCTGATATCCCTAGAATTGAATAAATGAAAGATATCCATAAAAAATAAAACCAACAATCGTGTCTGATTTTTAGTTCACTTTTGGTTCATTTGTGTTTTGATTACTTTTTTTTATATGAAGTATGAATCATAATGTGAGCAAACCAGCCTTAGCTCAGGAAACAGCTATAAAAGGCAGGAAAGCTTACTTAAGTAAATTGTATTGTCAGCATTTCTCAAATGCAACAATTATGTTCGGCACAGTATATGTAAGAGAATAAAACAAAAGTTTTGTACGTGAAAACTAAAGTACATAACACTCGGAATGCATTATTAAACCGATGTTTAAAATGACTGCTCTATCCCCCGACTTAGCATGATCAGCTTGGCAGTGCCAACTTATTATCACATTAACATAATTACCTACTCGTGCTATGGGAACAACCATGTGTACAAAATGTGCACACATACAGCATTTGTAAGTTCTTGCCATACCCAATGTAACAGTGCAGACTTTTTCGCATGACGCAGATATAGAATAATCTCATATGCCAGAATCCATACACCATCAAATTCTCTTGGCCGAGATGAGAAAATGGGACATGGGCATGTTTGGACGATAGGCCAGTGCCTTCCCGCTGGCATGCATCTGTTGTATAGGAGATTAGGGTAGGCGTTTTGCATGTGTGCGTTGCACCAACACGTCAGTGAAAGTGTTTACCCAGAGAGCTGATAAGGGCAATAAGACCCAAATGTGGTTAGCTTAGCACTTGAGACTAAAAATCTATGTATTATCACATTTATAGTTACTGGGCTTCCAACATGTTAGAAATTGAAGTGCATATAGTTTGTCTGCATTTAGTGTAACACGTAATTGATCCTTGCATAATTTTAAAATATTTGATGGAAAAGCCTATGACTAAAAATACCCAGAATGCACCTGATCTCATCAGATCATGGAAGTTAAGCTGGATTGGACCAGGATAGTGGTGGGATAGGCATCCACCATGCATAAAACAGGTATGGATTCTACATTTTCGGCAGAGGGCAGGTAAAAAATAAAATTTTATATCTATCGTGCTATACTCAAATGTCTATACTCCCACCTTCACCACCTTGCACAAACCCGTGTGAAGTATAGTCAAATAACCCACCCACGACCTGCACGGCATGGGAAGGCAATCATACAGCAATAGACTGATGAAAGGGCTATATATGTACGCATTATGACAAAAGTAAAAGCAACTATAACCATTCAATGTAAGCAATTACTTTATATTTGGTTGTAAGGTCACATGAATAACATTTTCAAAATCTACAGTACATAGTAATATTTGCTAAACTTATTTTTAGTATTTAACTACAGAGCCTTTTTTTACCATTTTATGTAAAAAGTGCACGTTAAAAAGTTAATATTACTCTTACATTAACATATGAAGCATTGATGTAATCAGAGTCTGGGACACCCTCCAATGATGTCAGGTGGACTCTGAAGTTATCATCTGGAAAAATTAAACAAATTGTTAAAAAATAAGAAGTGGAACAAGCTGGAATAACAGAGTTTTGGCATATGCAGAATGCCTGCAAAGACAAGCCCTCTCCTATTGGCTGTGCTATCTAACGTTGTCATGGTGCCTGATAGGAGTGAATTTCCTTACAGAAAAAAATGCCTGAAAATTTGAATGAGATAACATAAAAACAACATGGGAATCTCATTTTAATGGAATTAATAATGGTTGTATTATACAGTGCCCATAGACATGTATAGTGGCCAATGCATTTCAGGTATAAAATCAACATGTTTGCAATTATAACGTCTTGGGAAAACCTATAAGAGCATGGCTATGAGAGCACAGCATTTTACATTCAAATGTTATCTGAATTGTGTGGTATATTTAACATTCAAACACTATATGAATTGTGGAATACATTTGTATCATCAACCACAATGTAAGAATGTACATAGGATTACAACCAGACAGAAGAGCATGGTCATGTGTCTGTATTTAAAAAAAAATAGCCACCAGACAAAGTCTGGAAATTAGCAACCATTGAACAATTTTGTTGTTGTTGTTGTAAATAAACGAAATTATCCAAGCAGTATATATGCCCACTGGTGGAGCAGTATACGATGAACCCAGTCCCCTGAATTTGATTACGGGCCATGGCGAACATCACTGACAATTGGTGTAAAAAAAAAGAAAGTCCCTGTTTGTAGTAACATCCACGAAATGTGTGTATATTTGGTACACACAAATTATCGTAGAATTATAAAAAAAAAATCTTGTACTTACATGGCAGGATATTCACATATCTATTCTTCTCTTTGTTCTCTTCTTTGGAGGCAGCTTCACAGGTCGCCTGAATTGGACAGCTTGGGAGAGACTGGAGTGAAAAAAACATAGCACAGATGATATAAAAATACATTGTAAATTAAGTTTCAAGTTTCATTTATTAGGTATAGCCCTGTGAGCCATGCGGCTCTTAAGTCGGGTGCAACCGCAACAAACAAAATTTGAACACAGAACATCCCAAAGCGACAACGCGCAACAGAAACATCCTGGAATAAATCAGCAAATATTCCACACAAAAAAAACTTACCTGTGTGCATGCAAAGGTAAATGTGGAACTCTACAATTACTTGCTCATGTCACTACTGGTGGTGGAAGGGCTTGAACTAGAGTGTATTTTGGCCTACTCTTCCACTACGTGCTCATGTGCTTGTATAACAAATCTGTGTGATGTGCAATGTATACATTAAATTTAGTTGAATCCAAGTGAACCTCAACATGCTTGCAAACCTCTCAAGGTGGTGATCCATTCCGTCCCACTAACCCATCTAGGTGCAGACTTGCAACAGGTGGTGGCCTGATCAATTAACGATTATTATAGTTATTATTGCCATCACCATTATCATCCATCATCGGCTGTGACGGCACTGATTTATGATGTAGGCAGTGACTACGATTGTTATTGTCATCATCATTCATCATCACTGTTGTCATGTCTAGTATTTCTAAATAATCACAGAAAACAGAATGAATTTTGCACCTAAATGTCCAAAACATTACTATTATCCACAGGTACTGCAACTAAAAGGATGAATGTATCATTCACATCTCCTTTTACATTTTTATCTTATTATCTATAACTTTGAAGATGATATAAAAGCTGACTGGCTGAAAATGGGTTGAATCACAGACCAACGAAGAAAGTAGATATGACCAGCCACAGTTAAGATGATTTTCACTTTGTACACTTATTCCAAACCTGTGCTAATTTATGCCTTCACTTTTTTGTCAATAACGCTAATATTTCTTGCAAAAATATTAAGTATGTTATAATTACCAATAATACTTACATAGATTTTATTCACCAAAAAAATCGAACATTCCAACAAAAGGACTTGGGACAATATATATATTTTTTCTCCAACTATACAAAAAGTATTAAAAAAGTCGGCTACACTCCGAACTTGTTTTTTTATGTAAAAATCTTGACACGTGTATGTGTTCTCTATTTCACAAAAATCACATATTCTTAAACAAATGAAATACACACCCTTGGAAAACTAATATTTCCCTGTGTCAGCAGCTGAATTTCTCAATGCACATTTTTGGGGTCGCTGGTAGACTGGAATAGGCATGCGACTAGTATCCTTGATACTTCTCGCTATAACTGTGGCTGTGCTGGGTGCAGAATTTTTTTCTGGGCATAGGCCCAGCTGTAATTAATCCCTGCCATGTATCAGTTATTCTACACAAGAGTGCCTTGGAGTGAACAGCACCATCCAAAACTGATGACGACCGCTTGCGTTGCGATCGAAACGTCGTGATATTTTCATGGTTTTTTTATTCACTTTATTTTCATTCTTATTATTTTATTGTTGTTATTTTTTCTATCTACGTGACTTTACCGAAAGACCATAGAATATGCCTTGGAGTTGTTGTAATTGCCCAGGTGCCATTTATTGCACAGCCTCCTACATGGAAATTGACCACGATAAGATAGTTACCATACACTTACATTGAACTCTTCTCTGAAGAGTTTATTGTCATCTGCGCTTCGGCGATTAAATTCTTCTTCCAAACGATCCACTGCAAGCGGTGGATACTTGCGGTTGGTGCTTGGGCTACGCGCCAGCAATGGCATACTTTGCATCTCTGAAAACAGGCACATGCACAGCAGTAGTGAACAGCACCATCCATTACACTTCAAATGAGCACAGCACATACGACCTAGGCCGAAACAATATAGGGAAGTCAGCCACAAGATTCCCAAAGATACCAACGTGTAATGGGTAAAACTCAATATAACAAAGAGACACACGCATTCTTAATACGGTGCAATGTTAATATCATACTTGATATTCTAAAAAACAATTAAATTAAGCAGCCGAGCTTCACAAAGACTTAATATGTAAAATACATCAGATTTAAATTATTCAGTATCTGAAATGTATGTCATTTTAAACTTTCTACAGTGTTGAGTTATCAGTAACACCAACATGAAAATAAATAATCCAAAAGCAAACAAGAGTAAAACTGGCTACATATACAAAGTATCATACACATGTGCAGCCATTCAGTCTATCCACTGCTGGATGAGGGCCTCAGGTTGTGGGGGTTATTTGCCAATATTTCACACTGATCAATGTCGGCCAATGAAGGTGGAAAGCATATGTGGCAGCATATCAGTACAGTACAACAATGGATTGTACTGCAGAGCCCTCTGCAGCACACAATGCAGCATCTCACCAAATCACCCGGAATGCGCAAAACTGTCAAATCTTAACCGAAGCAGGTTTTGAACCTGGATTGTCCTTAGATGAATGCCCACAATGGATTAAAAAGGTGTCGGCTGTTGTGAGACTATATTGTATTCAAAGTAACATCACACAATATAAAATATGCTAAAATTCAGACCTGCGTCCTCTCCTCTGCCATTGGCCAGCCGAAGTGAGTTGGTTCCATTGTGTTTGTACTTACGGAATCTTCAGAGGAAATACACGGAGAACGGTATAAGAATGTAAAAATACAGCATTAAACAAAACAGTTTTCATTGCTAAACATTAAATATAGATTAGTTATTCATGTATTACGTTTGTTTATCTTTGTGCAGAAAAGCTCCCTTTAAGTATGTTCTGTATATATTAATGGCTCAGCTGTTAGTAAAATGGTCTCCTTGCCTCAACATGTAGAGGACAATGATGAATACTCCAATTACCAGAATGCAGGCCAGAGCTACACAGGCTGCCATGATGATTGAATCTTTGTGGAAAAGACAGACAACAAACATAAGACATAATCAGTACAATTAAATAACCAGCACTTGCAACAGGCCATGTTATAATAACAGCCTCTTCAAGTATGCTTTACCTCTACTATCAGAAGATGGTGATATTGGAGTTGACGTTGTAGTCGTGTCTGTTGAACAAGAAAAAAATTTTAGTAACAAATTATACGCCGGTACTAAAAACTAAAGACGTGCTCTCACTAAAAATAAATCAGTGAAAGGTCTGAAAAAACAATGGAAATGTCACGCACCTGCAGGTGTTGTTTGTGACAGGTAGTCTTTCTTCGTGACTATATTAAAGTAGTGCCGAGGTGAAGAGGTTGTTATATTCATTGCATCTGTCTTGTTGTCTGTCGCTGTCCTTGTTGTGTGTACCTTGGAAGTCACTACAGGTGTGGTTGGGTTTGTCGCACCAGGTTTCTTGCTTGGCACAGCAGTGGTCATGCCACTTGCTGCTGTCGGCACTGATGAGTTATCTACTGCTGACCCATTGGTTGGTGTTAGCGTTGATGCCTTTGCTCCTGTTGTGGTTAATTGTGTCGCCCCACCAGTCAAATGTGGTCCAGGTGCCAAGGATGTCAAGGGAGACCGTGTAGTTGAAATATGTGCCGCTGTTATTGCTGACAAATAAAATACAAATACAGAAATGAGAACATGAGTAATATTTACGTTCATCAATAAGATGTGATCGTTAAAGCTCTGAAGGTAATTAATACTACCCGCTGTTTAAGGCTTGTCAACCAGGGATGCAAAAAAACAATTGTTACTTTTCACATTATCATTGACTAGGACCTTGAGTATTGTATTGCGTCAATATTAATGTTAGTCAATGGAAAAATACCAAATCACTGAAACTCGAGCCCTTATTATGAATACCATGATATGAAGAAAACCTTCAGCGACTTAAATTTAGAATAAAGAGAACAATCATTTAAATAAACTCTGACACTAAACATCAAACAATGCATATTAATACATTTTCAGTGTACGCTTTCTTGAAAGGTAGGGTTTGTAAGGAATACTGAACAAAACAGACATTCTTAAAATGAAATACAACTTATCTATAACTTTCAAATAACCCTCTTGGCTCAGTCATTGCATTACAAATTAACTGATTGCTTACAGTTACTGTCGGGACCAGGAGCAGTGGTGAGAGGCTGCGTGGCTGACGTGCTGTCGGAGATGACGTTGTGGCGAGTTGTGTGTGTTTCGACCACACTGGCAGTGGAGGTCAGCCGAGATATTTGGGTGGCAACAGAATGGACCATTACCGCTGTGAGAGTGAAGTATAGGTGGGTGGATGGATTGATGGGTGGGATGGTTTTTGGGAAAGGGGATATATGTCAGTAGTAATTTGAGCAACATGATGTTATTCATGAAAATGAAGGTAAATGGAGGGTTAGGGCACATACGACATTGGCTTCTCATTATCAAAAACATAATAAACGCAGACTTCATTGCAATTTCACATTTTGCATTGCAGCTATAACAAGTCTGACATGCATGCAACATAAAATAAACAGCTGAAAAACATGGCTTTAACGAGAACATTAAAAAAATGCATTTACACTTCATGTCAGCGGTGGCCAACTGGCATCTCCCGAGCCGCATGCGACTTGTTAATCCACCACATGCGGCTCTATCGAAGGGGCATAACGTAGAACATATTATCACAGTAGCAAAGAATAAGCAATTCAAGTTGTAGAACTCATGGGTACTCTGCGGCTCTTGGTCTGTTACAGGTTGGCCATCACTGTTTTTATCACATATTTAGACAAAAGTATTTTTACATTTTAGTTATGCCACTCAATTGAGCGGGTGTTACTCACTATCGGTTGTGTTGGTTTCAGCCTGAACGTGCAACCTTGAGATGACTATGTATCCCAGCATCGTCATGAACAAAAAATGCTCCATGATAAACCTGTAAAACACAATAAGAGTAAAAGTATCCCAGAGTTCAGTTATCTTAGCAACTCGCAGTCTTTCAAAACACATGATAATTTACTGTAGTTTCCATTATCTAACTGCTGTCTAATTATAGACAGCAGTTAGAGCTAGGTTGATGAAAAAATATAAACATAGACCTTGTCAGCATAAAGGTTTTATTTCGATTTAAAGCTTTCGTGACTGCAAGGATTCATCTTCTTTGGTTATTTCGGTAAAGTCACGTAGAATGAGAATAAAATAATAAATTGATAAAATAAAACGAAGTGGGAATTTTATTGTGCTATTTTATTTTATCAATTTATTATTTTATTCTCATTCTACGTGACTTTACCGAAAGCACCAAAGAAGATAAAGGTTTTAATCGCACGAGTTTCGTCCTTCAAAAAAGGTTTCACGTGTCTGCCACGAAACGAGATATTAGTGAGTTCCAGGTATTTTACAACATCTTGGGTGTGACCGTTTCAAATGCTTCTGTTGCGTGCTCATGAAGATCGCTCAGGATTTTCCGGTTTTTCTGGCGAACACGTTTTTTTATCTTTCACATAACCTCAACAATCAACCACGCAGATCCAAGTGAAAAGTATAATTATCGAATAATAGATGAAGACTGGATGGACACACTACATTTATCTGCACATAAGAGGACAAAATAAAATACATAAAAGTCATTTTGACATATTCCTCGCTGAGGCCACTTAACATTCACTGTATCATGATACCTTTGCTGCAAAGGTCAAACTTGTGGAGCGCAGCAAGTGAAACTTTTCAGCCCGTATCTTCTTGTGAGGTCAGGGGGCCTTAACCGCATCCTGCCCCAAGGTTGCAGGTCATGCTCTATTTCCCGTCAGAGGGCCGGCCATCCGGGCGTGGGCCCAGCGGGAAGGCAGCCAGAAGCCAAGACAGACACAATGGATCACTGTGGAGCCAGCACCCTAACAACTAACACATGAGCAGCGTACTGCGTTGAAAAACACTGCTCCAGATCATTTATATCCCGCACAGCCCTCCTCATTAGCTCAGTTTAATTAATGGCAGAGAGTACTTATCACTCCAGAGTACACATCTTCATTGAAAGGTTGTATTTGTGACTAATTACCAAGAGCACATCCGATCAGTGGTTAGATTTAAACACATTTTTAAAGTGGGAAATAAAAATATATTGAATTTTGTAAAAAAAAAATCCATTATGCTCTTCGTCCTCGGTACGTGTAGTATGCAATCATTTTGTTTAAACTTCACGTTATTTTTTCTACAAACTATGGCACTGTGTGCATCCACCTTACATGCAGAAAACACAGAAGTGTAACTGTGGATGAAACACCTTTTACAATCGAGTACTTTGACGCTTCACACACTTTCAGGACTGTAGTTAACAAAATGCTAAACTGACCAACTTAATCTCACTTTCAAAACATTACAAGATGTTCAAGAGCAAGAGCAGATAGCACCACACCCTTTTTCAAGGGTTTTTCTATTTTCTGCAACTGGTGGCGTAAAGGGTATACTCTTCCTCTTATCAAGGCTGCAGGCTTAAAATGGTACTATATCTATTTACAGTACACTACTTAATCGAAATAAGCATTTACATTAATTAATGCATTAAACAGCTGCCACTGCTTCCTTTCTGATAACTGATTGTGAGCAACTATTCACCTTAGATAAGTTTAAATACCGCAAAGTGTAAGACAAAAAGTGATGTATAATATAATTACTACAAATGCATACATGAACTATTTTGGTAACAATATGTAAAATACAAAGTTAAATTATTTAAAATGCAAGTGTGCAATACACACTTATTATAGCTAAATATGCAGTAATATACTGTATTTGGTTGTTTAAGCAAATAAAACATAGGATGGCCAACTTTCACGCGTGCCTCTAACAATAACCTCACGTAGTCGTACAAATTGCTATGCAAATAACTTGGAGCTCTTTTTAATCATGGCAAATAGGTCAGAAGGAACAGAGTTGTGTAATGCATGTCATACGGAGGTCCCAACAAATGCCTGTCGCCTATATGAACTATGCCTTCAAGTAGATTTTGCAATTAAAAACAATTAGAGCACTGTCAGTTTCTATAAAGAAAACGAATGTATGTAATCCATATACCCATTACTGTAGGAGTGTTGCGTGCAAGGAACATCCTGTTCCATAACAAGACACCCACAATACTTTGTCATTACTACTAATGGCATACCACTGTTGTTATACAGGGGCTGCTGTGGTTAAAGCAGACCAAAAGCCTAGATTATTTGCCCTCAACATGCAAGCCAGTTGCCAAGGCCTTTAACAACAGTGTTGCCATATCAACATTTCAACTTCAGGTTTAGATCCAGATATTTATATAGTCTTTGCAAGTTTATGTAAGTAAAAGTGCTGGGTGCAATGACCAAACATGTCTCTCTAAACTCCCTTAAGGAACAAACATAGCTGACTTCGCAAAGGTTTCATGTATCATGCCAAGTTAAGTTCAAGTGCAGCACTGTATAATGGTTCCACTACATTTTACAATGCACAACCAACTCACCCTGAATGCACCAAATCTCGTAAGATATTGCGATGCTTTTGCAGGCTTGTCTGGCTAATGCAGCAGTAGTTGTATGGGAGAGTGTCTAAGAATGCCAGGTGCTGTCGGCTTCTGCTGGAAGGTGACCAGAAGATGGTAGAACAATGCAATATTTTAATCTATCTGTGCAATGCTTTTGATTGCAATCCCCTTGCATGGGTTTGGGTTTATTCAGAGCACTCTGGTTTCCTATTCACATTCCCAACGCTTATTTGTGCAATTGACCAAACTTTCCACTGCATGGTTCTCCTAAAAAAATTGTCATAAGCCTTCGTGTGCTTTTACAGATTAAAAAAAAAAATGCATTGTGTATTTCATAAGAATATCCTTAAATAAAGTGGATCATGTTAATTTGCTTCAACTTTTATTTTTTTACAATTAGGATCGATGGCATCTAAGTGCAAATTATATTCTGCTAAAGGGGAGGTCCTTTTATTTCGACAATCTATGCCATTGGAAAGTACTGTATTGGTATACTGGAATATTATGTAAGGCTATTACTTTTTATTTTAATTTGTAAAGTATTATACGTAAAATACATTGGAAGTTTGGTTGGAGGAAGTTTGTAAAAATGCTGTTGGTATTTTGGTCATTACTGATGTGCTGACTACAGTAGGCAGAATTAAGAAAAGCACTGATCCTCATTTTATTTCCAGAGCTCCCCAAGGCAGCACTAAGCCAGGTAAAGCTCAGATAAACGTATTACAAAACGTCTAATACTGAATCAATGCACTCTTTTATTTAACCAATTTTTTCCAACTGTGACCAACACTGTGCCAACTACTCATGCCTTCTCTTTACTGTATTGTATTTGATTATAGTCCAGTGCAAATGTTTAATTAGGAAATTGTTCCTTACTCAATTAAAGTGAAGACAAATTGTGTAACTCCACAAAATAATTCATAATTGAGCCATCACCACTGAGCTATGGCATTTAAAGTGATTGAACTTCATGGAAACTAATTTTATTTATTCTCATTCTCCCAGGAGCTTAAACACAGTACAATAGAGGGGCTTGAACAGTGCCCTGAAGTATATAACTTACATGTGTGTTGCCCTATAAGCAACCTGTCAATAAACGCGTTTAACCACATTCAGCGACGACGTGAAAATATGTGGCTAAGCTTTAAAAGAACAGTATACAACATCACAACTATTTAACATACATATGCGATGTGACAAGTACAGTCGGGCATATTATGCAATGGATGAAAATAGCCAAGCCAATGCATGTACAGATGGCAAAAATCTCAACCTATAATAAGGCACAGCAACTCTATTTTTTACAGATATGCTGAATTAACAGAAATGCCAAGCCAAGCGATGCACACAACCACAATTTAAACTTTCAAAGTTTGACTTATTCAGGTGTAACTACTGGAATATTATGACATTCCAAGCAATGATATTTCACAATGCATAACCAACCGTGCTAATCGAAGGTATGGGGGAAGGACGTTTAATTAAAGTGTTTAATATGATACATTTTCATCCATGTGCACGCAAAAAAAATCTACCATGCTAAGTTAATATGTGATTTTGGGATAAATGCAAAAAAATAAATGTTCCTTAAAATGTCCACGTGAAATACCATACAGATTGATACAAATTGTTCTCAACAATGTGCATGTCGAGACTCACGGTAAACATTTCATCTGCCTCTTCATGGCATGTCTTTCAGTGAACTTAACATCTTAACATCCCTTATGATGAAGGATATTGAGCTTTCATTGTGCTGCCAGTCAGGCTTAAATGTGTGCCAAGGGCCAACCAACCCTTGTACCCATAGCCAGCACCTCGGCTCTTTCCTTGAGCACAGCCTCAGCATCTAATGCGTTACTTCGGCCATAAATAATAAATGACTGCACCCATAATGCCAAATAGTCAAAGATGCGCCATTTGGCTTCCTCTATTGATCTTAATAACAATGCTATCATCTCTGTGGAGGAGAATGCATTACAGTATTTACTGTAACTATGATTATATTTCAGTAACACATTCGTATCTTGACAAATCGAAATATCACAAGATCTGATATTATAGACATTACAATAATAACAATTTACAACCCTCTGTCAATCCGCTGATGGATGAAGTCCCATGCCATATAATTCAAGGGGGCTGTTTGATAATATTGTAAGAGCTTAACAGTGTTCAGTGTGGATTGGTGAAGAATGGGGGAGGGGGGGATGGACTCGGACCGGTTTGGGTTGATCGGGAATCAAACTCATGTTGCCGGGTCCAGAGGAGTGTGCTAACCACTGTGCCATCGCTCCACATTTAGGTTCATCTACATTACTGTAAAACAAAGAAAATTTGAATTTTATGCGTAAACAGAAAAAATATAATTGGAAAAATCTGATTATAATCTATTGTAACTTGGCATAACATAGTACGATAATAATAATAAATTTGTCTGTGTTTATAAAAGTTAATGACAAGGCAAATTATGCATCATTACATTATTTGTGTGTGCTGAACTTCAAAACTGTGCCATAGTTTCGCAGCTGCAACATTCTCGGTTCTATTGTTACCACACAACTGCACAACAATATTGTATGACAATCAACTCACATTTGTGACAGTGTACAACCAGTGCGCGTTCTAACTTTCACTTGCTACAACTCTTACGCTGGGGCCAAATAAGTGAAATGACTGAACACGCATCACCATGCGCACAAATCCTTGACACTGGAAACAGTGTTTGTGGTGACCACATTGGCCTTTAAATGTTTTCTGCAGCTATTTACAGTAAAGATCAAATAATGTCTCCTGTGTCTGCGCACGTCCAGAAAATAGGCGCTTGTTGTCAGTGGTCACATTTTACGGCAACTTAGGTCATGGCATGACTGCACGGAAATGTTTCAAGCAGCGTAATTGAACATAATGGCATTGTTAATATTTAAAACTAGAACTGCATTCCTCTCCATGAAAACACTTCTCATCTGACCGCATATGCATTTCGAGAAGAAACAAATATATCAATGCTTCTAATAAACCTCAAACTACAACCGCAATGATAAAATGCTGGTGTTTCTGTGTATACCGTATAGTAGTCCGGTAAAATCAAGGAACTAAAACACGTGTAAACAACCAGAATGCCCTTGGTAAACTACTCCATAACTTCCAAGCAGTTTGTTTGCGAAAGCACCAACATCATATTTGCGCACTTCAAGAACTGTCGCCACAATACAATTGCGCATTTCGCAGGCATGGTGTATACAGTACTTTACTTTAACACATTCCACCTTGAATGACGCTTGAGCAAGCTACGGATAAATTGCAGCACAGTGTGAATTACACAGCCGGCAATCGAACGTCCTCCAAACGAAATGACATCCCAACGAATATGAAGCACAATTACTGCTCGGCTTCATTACTTTCCATACATTGACGTCGTTCTCTTCTCTCACAAAGGTATACACCATTATCTTTGTTTGTAAACTACAGTACAGTACTATACCAAACCTGGAAGTTAGTTCAACTGAAATATGTGCATGCCCACCAGTCCTGTGCAGTGTTACTATTGAACCAAAAATACTGGAACTAATCTCTTTGGAACTCAAGAATGCATACAATTACGCAACGCTGCGAATTCTAAAGTTTTAATCTAAAGTACAGCATTGTCAGCTTGCGTGACAAGACATTATGTGGCGAAGTACTCTGCTGTATTGCCATTGACAGCAGAGCGGTGGACAGGGTTGGTCGGTGCGAGCTCAACCATGAACCCAATGAACAAAGTTCGACTCCGGGCAACGGCGACCATTCGCATTTGAGCAGCATGGCGAAGCAGAGGAGTCATAAACTATCAAACCAACCCCCACGACTTGACACTGGTACGGAGAGAGAGAGGCGTTTTATCGAGCAGTGGATTGGTGGTGGTGGTGGTTGTGGTGGGAACGAGCTTACGATTTGTATTTTTTGTTGCACTGCACTGCTCCAATTTTGCCACTGGGTCATAACAAGTCACGAGAAACTCCAACGCCGCGACCCGTTAGCGCCGTGCAATATTTGGGATCGTTCACAGACGCGGGCAGAACACAGCGGGCGATTGAGGGACGTTATATACAGAACCGTACTAATTTTTTTACACAATTGGCCACTGTACATTGACTTATGGGGTTTTGATTGTTCACACGACCACAGCATATTTGCTCGAGGGCGTGCATAAACCTCACGTGTCTGTACTGCAAATGCTGTGTGTTTATATTAGATTATGTGCAAACATGCCAGGGGAAATGTCATATACATGTATTTGTAGCTGTAGGTTTTATCGTATGGAGGTTTTGTGATATGGGTTGTGTCACGAGATGAACACCTTCTGATGGTCATTAGAAGTTGAGCATTGGGTAATTATTTGATTCTGCGCATTATAGAACCGCATTCGTAATTTATCTACACCTTGCATCAACTCCAAATCCCAAGATCAAAGGTTAATAAAAAAAAATCCAGGCAAAGCTGTGAGTCATGAAAATCTTACGGCAACATCAATGACTTGACATGCCTCTAATATGACCTTGTAACATTTTGCTCTCCTACCTCATTAATTTTACAGCACTGTACAAAAAAAGAGTATTAATTCGGAATCGTGAAATGTACAGATTGAATTTTCACATTCAAATGTATGTACTGTATGCTGCACTTCTTTCGCACCGTACGTAGCCAATCGTGCTAGTCGGAGGTGCAAGGGGTGAGACGACAAACTAAACACAAAAATCAATTCTACAAAAATAATTTTAAAGTGCATACATAGCTCCAGTGGCGTCCTCATATCGGAAGGAAGAGCGTTCCAGACGGCCGCAGAAGCAGCGCATCTGAAAATGCCCAGATTAGCAGAGAGATGCTTGACCCCTCTTTACCTGTTACCGTATTAATCTTTAGGGGAGTGTTGTCGGCTTCTCTTGGCAGAAGTCAGCAGTAGTCTTGGTTCGGAAAGTTTAAAATGTGAATCAACAATATGGAATTGATCACCAAATCAGCTCCCCCCCCCACTCATCGGCACTTACGGTTTTGCACATGTTTCTTTTTCTTTGTAAACAATGTGCTCATTTTAGTTGTGATAATCCAATACCTACAGTGCCAACTAAAGTCCATGTACCAGAGGGTTCTGACTATTGTACACCTGCCATTACAGTAAATCTCAAATGTTTGTCAAGTAATTTCCAGTGCATGACATGTCAGGTCAAGAGAAAGCAACTACTGTACACAAACTAAAGACGCATACGCACCTTACTGGAGGTACAAACATGCACATGTAGCAACTTCAATACTGCAATGGCATGCGCAGAATAATATAACCTACCTTCAACATAACCATGCAATGAAAAAGCTAAATAACATTACACGTGGTGTGGTCAGGTGACCTGATATAGAATATAACCACACGCAAAAAGAGAAGTGGTGCATGACATTTAATAACGGAAAGTAACCAGATTAGATGACTATAGTGTTGTTCCAAAGTACGGTTCACTACTTTATAAGCCGCTTATGTTTACTTTAATTCTTATTCACACACCACTGTACAGTACTTGGTGTATTCATTCTTATAAGGGGGGGGGGGGGGGGAATGGTGCAGACATTAAAACAAGCAAGATCAAATCAGATCTTTGCTATGTAGGGGCCATTGCCCGAAACATCGCTTATATACATGTTTAAGACAGTGGTGATAGACAAAAGTGTTTAGTTTGTTACGAATTATTCAAAGACAACTGCTGTAACTTCAAATGTTAAATGTGGGCAGTGTAATCGCGTTGTAGTCGAAGTTGTAATTGCATTACAGTCCAGCGTCATTCCATCATCGTCTTCATCACCCCCTTCCGCAACACTTCACAGAACCCAATGTAGTCGAGCGTGAAAACAGTCTCATAACACACAGGCATACAATTGCAATGCAGCTATTTCGGGGTAAATGATAAACGCTTGTACGGGACTGTATAATTATAATCATCAAACCATTATCGCATTCCTCGCCACCTTCCAAAACAGTCACTGGAGCACAGTACCTTTACTTGTGAAAATGTTTCATAACACACATACATACATACACAAAACAGACGCAAAAAAATGACAACGTAGCGGAGATGGCCAAAACAATAAATAATATAACAACATTTCCACCCCCCCCTCCTCCACCACTTCCGCACATGCCGAGATCGGCAAAGCTTTTGGGGCCGGTAGCAAGCGGCTCGACATCGATACGATACCTAAAACTAAATCCACGACATCTCCACGGAGAAAATTAAACAACAAAAAACACCACCACCACCGCTCGGAAAAGCGTGCGTCGCTACGCAGGCAGAAGAATCAGATCAGACGACAAGGAGGGACACGCGCGCACACACCTCGGCAGGAATTCCTCCTGTCCAGCTCTTCTTCCACCTCTTCCAGCCCCCCCCCCCCCCCGGCTGCGAGGATTATTTTACTCCACCACCACCACCACCTCCTCCTGCTTCTTCTTCTTCTTCTTGCTGTTCCTCTCCGCCTTTAACACCGATCACCACCACCACCACCAGGAGCCACAAACACCACCTACCTACCTAACCCACACGTTTCTCGGCGGCGGCCCGAGCTCGACTGAAGGGAGGCGGGGAGGGGAGATGGTGGGAAGCTGCTGTTGTTGTTGTTGATGTTGTTGATGATGTTGTTGTTGATGTTGTTGTTGTGTGTGTTGAGGACAGTTCAGAGGGGCCCGGCAGACGGCAGAGGGAGCCGAGCCGCCATGGGAGGGGAGGGGCTTGGAGAGGCGAACGGGGGGAGAGGAGGAGGGGGGGGAGGAGTCCCGGGACTCCTCCCCCCCCACCCCTCGTCGACCTCTCACAGGCGGGGTCACTGGGCGGCTCCCGCACCCACGTCACTTCACGCAGCTTTGGAAAGGCAGTCCCCGGGTTACGGAAGGGTTAGATTTTTTTTTTAACAGAGAACGATCCGTTACCCGAATTTACGTATGTCGGAAAACTGGACAAATTTCCAAACAAAAAAAATCAAGATTAATTATATCTTAATCCACAACCTCGCCGCGCTGCACTACCTGCGCTTACGTAACTAACGCAAATATTTCCGCCTATCGATTTGTTTACATGATTTTGGAGCATTTATGTAAGTTCGGATTTCCGTAAGTCGGGTTTTCCGCAATCTGGGGAGTGTGTGTGTGCATATATACAAACACAAACAGACAGACTGCTGGGGCAAGTGCTATTAGTGAGTAGCACCTATGAAGGCCGACACGGCGCACGAGGGGTGAGTGGCCAGCACCACGCCCGGGCGTCTTTGTATCCCCCCAGTGGCGGTGTTTACACACCGCACCAGGTACTCATTTGAGGCTGAGTCGACCTACGGGAGGCCCAGGACCGGTTCAGATAACCGTCAATGGTGTTGGCCGTAAGCGGGAATCGAACTCGGGTGGCTGGGGTTCGGAGCGCAGCGCGCTAACCGCTTCACCGCCCTTCTGTAAACTACATATATACAGTATACACACATTCTATATAAAGAACAATTCCGTTCAGAGTCCACCACTATTGACGTATTGAATTTTTTTTGTGTCACGTATTTACACTCTTCCGTGGACAGAGGCGCCGGGGGGGTGGAGGGGGTGTGAAGCTGACCGTAGTTTCAACTGTCAGGAGATCGAACTCGCTAGCCAACCCCCCCCCCCCCCCCCCGGAATTTAGTCAATTTTACTGGAATGTAAATTCGTTTAGCCTCGGAACGACTGGACGGACGAGTTTCTAACAGAGTGGGCCCTTTCCGGAGAGGTTCCTTTACGACCGTTATACCTCGTTTGTTTGTTAGTTGTTACAATATTCATTTAGGACTCTGTGATCGTTCTCTGCAATATTGATTATTACGGGGTTTTTTGCCTTTGTTTTGATGTTGCTGCTGTGTTCACGCACCACGGATATCCCTTCTAAAAAAAAAAATTGCTGGCAATTGGCTCAAGGGGATTATCCGTGTGACAAATATAATAAACTTAAAACTGACATTTTCCAGAAGACATCTGGCAGTTCGGAATCAGCATATTTATTTATACTGGAGGAATCCAATGAGCTATGAAGCTCTTTTTCATAGATGTCCAATTCACCAGCAGTGGTGCAAGCAAGACTGACGAATGAGAGACTGGAAACCTGTCCAGAGTTGTAAATTCGATGCTGCCAGAAAGCCATATGGCTGATGGTATGTGTACATTTTTATTTTTTTGTTAATGTGGAGGAACACATATATATGAATCAATCATATTTTCTGCTCATGTATTTTGTAACTTATTCAGTATTCTCCACAATGTCGTTATTTTTCCATCACATTCATGTATTTTAAGCGCATCAGCCTTATTTACTTTCTCGACCATCATCACAAAATATTCGTCAATAACACTTCTTAAAGGAAACAATACAAAATAGATCAAAGTCTCCATATACTGTATCTATCCGCGTCAAAATAAAGATATTTATTTCACAATCCAGGGAATCCATGATTTCAGTAGCACTAATTAAATACAAGAAACTCTGAACCGATGTCATATATAACTGACATTTGGGGCAAGCCCCCTTGATATTTGTGGAATGTTGTACTTAAGCACCACTGCTAATGCACTACCACAAAACAATATCAAACAGCATTTGTTCAATGTAAGCAAACTCAGAAACATGCTCAGCTTTCTGGATCTTATTAGCAGTCAGGCTTGCTTCACACATACTGCTGAATTTCCAAGGCATTATTTGCAAGAGTACTCCATATAAACTATGGAGCCCCGTTTAACCCAAAAAGCAACACTGTACAAAAACACTGAGGTCTATGTAAAGTTTGAAACTTAATGGCGTAGCCCTGCAAATGCTCATGCCACTGCTGGCAAACTCTACAGAGACGTTCTCGAGAGCCTAATTTGGCCAACTCTTCCACGATGGCCAGACATCTTGGTGGAAGTTCACACACTTTAGCCCACGACACACGACTTGGCGATCGACTTAACTGGTTGTAGTTTACACTGCTGGGTGGACAGAGACGGGGGCATTTAGAAAATTTGCCCATTGTTTCGACGGGTGATCGAACTGGCGATTTCCTGGAATTAAAATTGTCAAGCGGCATATTTTAATGACCTTATGGAGTACAGTATAACTAGCGACATCTAGCGACGTATTCTATGGGTCTTTCGGTAAAGTCACGTAGATAGGTTCAAAGGAAATAACAAAAAAACTACGACTTTTCGATCGCAACACAAGCGATCGTCATCTGTTTTCCTCCTGATGACGATCGCTTGTGTTGTGATCGAAACGTCGTAGTTTTTTGTTGTTATTTTTTGTTATTTTATTTGAATCTGTCTACGTGACTTTACCGAAAACCCCAAAGAATATGAATTTCTGCAGTCACGAAAGCTTTAAGTCAAGATCTATCGACGTGTTGGGGTTCGTTTGGCGATTTTACATTTAAAGAAGTTGATTACACTGCGTCGGGTGGTGGCGGGTTTAATGACACATTTATATTTTGATTTAAATCTTTTGTGACTGCAGTAATTCATATTCTTAGCTCTTTCGGTAAAGTCACGTTGAAGGGAAACAATAAAATAATAAAATATATATAAAACAATAAAAATTCTCACGACGTTTCGACCATAACACAAACGGTCATCATCAGGTGTGAAAACCAATGGCAAGCAAAACATTTGAAAGTGTCGGTTTGCATTTATTTATTTATTCATAAACGGTGTTCGTTTTTACT